CCAGTACAACTTGGCAGTTTTATTCAGGTGAAATTTGGCTTTCTGTCATTTCATTTTCATCTTCTCACCCATTGTTGTCACTACTTCTGGACTCACTAGCTTTTTATCATTTGGAAGAGTAGCCTGGGTGTGGTCTGCTATCAGTCACTGGTTTGGAAAATCTCAGGAGCTTTTAATAACTGTAAAACTGTGCCTTGAGTAGCTGTAGATCTCTACTCTAAAATTACATCGTACACATCTACGCTGGAGGTTTATTTTTTGATTCCTTTGCCAATTTCCACATTACCTCAGCCTTTCCACATTATTGGCGATAGTGTGGAGATTATGCACCATACATCATTTTCCATTCATTCATGAAGTGTCTGAATTCTTCACTTGTGAATTAAGGTCATTGTCACTGATCACATTGTCAGGAATGTCATGACGACTAAAGTGTGCTTTCAGACATTCTACAATCTCATTGGGAATCAGTGATCTCAGCTGCTCAAACAGCCCGCCATCTGAATAGCAGACAAGATAATCGGTTCCAGGGAGAGTGAAGAGTCTGCTCCAAGTTTCATCCATGGCCTGTCTGGGCTGTCACGAGTCATAAGTAGCTCTTTATTTTGTTTAGTTTGATGTTCTTTACAAGCACTGTATTAGCTGATGTGATCCTTCATCTCACTGCTCATGTTTGGCCAGTTCAGCACTCTCTTACCTTCCTCAGACTAGGTTCGATTCCTTAATGGTTTGTTCGGGGTGTTTCAGCATCTCTCTTTTCATCTCTTCAGGGATAATGACCCCTTTGATGTGATGTCATCTTGGGCGTTCACCTCATCACTGTTTGTCCAAAAACCTCTTACAGTAAAAGGTATATCCTGAATGCTTTTAGCCCAGCATTTCATCTAAACTTCCTGTAACATTTGAAGAGTAGCATATCGTTATGTAGTTTGCTTCATCTGCATGCACACTATTCTAACAGATTCAGTATGTTTTCTGGGTTGATGAATTCTGGATCAGCTTGTGCTGTTGCTGGTTAAGTTTGGAAGATTCCACATTCTGTACAGGCTTCATTGTCCTTCAGCAAAAACGCAGCTCTCAATAGAATATTGGTGATGTACACCTGCTTCCCTTGCTTATACTTCTTGTGTGAAGATGTTGATGTTGATGAAGGTTTGATGACTCCAAGAATGAGATATCACATATCACACACATGAATTGTTTGTCTTCAGTGTGACTACGTTGGTGTGCACATAGATTCAATGACTTTGAGAATGATTTATCACACATCTCACATGTAAATGGATTCCCCTCTGTGTGAATCTTCTGATGGACCAGGAGGCTTGATGACTCTGGAATGATTTCTCACACACCAATCACTTGAACAGTTGCTCCTCTATGTGAGTGCGCTGGTGTACACGAAGGTTCCCTGACTGAGTAAATGACTTGTCGCAGAAAGCACATGTGAATGGTTTCTCCCCTGTGTGAGTGCGTTGGTGTGCACGGAGATTGCCTGACAGTGTGAATGATTTGTGACACACATTACATGTGAATGGTTTTTCTCCGGTATGAGTGCATTGGTGTGCGCGAAGAGTTGACAACTGCAAGAATGATTTGTTACAAATCTGGCACACAAATGGTTTTTCCCCTGTGTGAGTACGTTTGTGTCGTTGGAGAGTTGATGACAGTGAGAAACATTTGTCACAAACCTTGCACCTGAATGGCTTCTCCCCAGTGTGAGTATGTTGGTGTTCACGGAAACTTGATGACCGCGAGAAGGATTTGTCACAAACCTTGCATGTAAATGGCTTTTCCCCTGTATGAAACTTCTGTTGTGTCAGGAGATTGGAAGATTGGGTGAAAGCTGCCTGACATACGGGACATCTGAATGGCTACTCCCCTGTGTGAATTCTCTGGTGTATCAGGAGGTGGGTAGATTTTACAAATGCTTTATCACAAACCTCACACTTGAACCGTTTTGGTTCCATGAAGCTGACCTTGCATTCACAGATATACACCAGATACACCTTACATTAGACAACTGTAGCACCGATTTGAGCCCCTCTCACACCTGTAGGAATGAGTCAGTGGTTCATGAGGCCCATTGAATGACTGAAGCTCTCACCACACTTGGAGCCACTCATACTTATTCCCAGCCTCACCCTGATCAATCACCAACAGCTGAACCTTCAGAAAAGCTGTTCTGATGGAATGGTCCACACCACTGAGCAGTTTCAGATCTGATGATGTTGTCTCCTGAACAGACTGATTGCCAGATGATGGTTTCACTGACCAACCTTCTCTGTGTTCAGCAATGCTGTGAAGGGACTGGATGTCTTCTCACAGTTGTGCAGTTGTTCCTTGAGTGATGGTCAGGATCGATCCGTGGTTTCTATCCTTTCTATTCTCTGGTGCAGTATGATGTAATCCTTCTGTAAAACAGGAAAAGGAAATATGATTTCCTCCAACTCACTGTCCTCCTTTGCTGAAGGGTTGACTCTTCAGTTAGAGACTTCTGCAGTGAGTGTCACTTTGCTGTTCCCTGTTTTTCCTCACTTGACTTTCACACAATCTCAATTTCTAGCAGGGACACTAGGTAAAGACCAGGAGCAGACAATGTGGCTACTTTCTTTCCTCTTCCCAGATCACTATCTTCCCAGGCCCTGTCAGGTGGAGTGTAATATGACTGTCAATTCGCTTTGAATCCATCTTGAGCGAGTAAAGAAAAGTTTTACTGTGAGTGTGTGTGGTTAATATCAAAAACACTCAACAGAATTACATTCTTTCCCAGTATGTCTTCAAGGAAAAGACACTGGGCAGGAATTACTCTAAAGGAAATATTACTTCAAAGTAGCTGATTGAGCAGTTCTGGCTTATCCTGGGAAATTAGAAACATTGTGCTCACTCAGACTGCACATCCCAATTTCAGCTATCAGACACAGCACTAGGCAAAACTGTCAAATCTGAGCCCAGCCTTCAGGTAAGATCTTTACAGAAGGCATTTAAAGACATTTTAATAAATATGACTCCAGTTACGGCAGTTGAATTGCTCTGGAACTCGATTAACATTCCAGAGATTGAGAATTCAAATCCAGCCATGGCAAGTTACAAACATACAATACAGTAAGAAACAGGCGATTCAGTACAATTGGTCTATGCTGGTGCATAAGCTTCACACCAGCCTCCTCTCACCCCTCAGCCTATCAGCAAATCCTTCTGTTCCTCTCTCCCTCATGAACTTACCTCATTTCCCCCGAAAGCATTTCTGCTCTTCACTTCAACCACTCCATGTTGTGGCAATGAATTTAATTAAATCTGGAAATTGTAAAATAGATGGAAAAGAAGAATACAGACATGAAAATGTGCAGATTGTTTCTAAAACCCAAAATTGTCTTTCGGGAAAAATAACCCGCTGCAACTGCCTGGTCTGCTGTAACTGCCCAGTCCCCCACAACACGGTTGACCCTGAACTGCCTTCTGAAGTGCCTGAACAAACAATGATAAACAACCACTATAAAGCCAATAATAACTGGAAAATCAGAGATATCTCGACAATCCAGACGTTGCGTCAGAATAAGATATATTGCTCCAGGAAAGTGAGCTGTGTACATTTATTGGAATGAAACCAGCATTGCAAGTGTTAAGTTATGAGGAGACACTAAAGAACATGGATATATTTCCAGACTATAGAAGATAAAAAGATGGCCTCACCAATGTTGATGAGATATTAAAGGAGAATGGAAGGGTGAACAGGTTGGGGAGTCCAGTACCAGAGAGACTGTCTAAAGCTTTAGAGGCAGACCTTTCTGGAGTAAACAGTTTGAAACACAAAGGACAGAAGATTGGAATTCACTTCCACAAACGAAATATGGTACGGAATCCATGATCAATATTAAATGCAAGATTGATCAATTTTTGTTCACCAAAGGGTTGAAGGGACCTGACGAAAAGGCAGGAATGTGAAGTTCGATCACTAAAGCATCTCGATCTCACAGAATAGTAGGACATATTTGAGACACTAAATTGCTAACGTCTAACTGCTAAATGTCTAACGTCTAAATGTACAATTGCTATGTACAATCCCAAAAATCCAACACACTCTCAGTAGCACCCTTTGGTCAAGGCCACATTCCATCAAGGAAAGTGTATGAATTATACTCTACAGGATAATAACCAGCTTCCAACACAGACACACAACTCAACATTTGTAAGGAAATCAGTCAATTTCCTCAGACATTCTGTACTTCCCAGATTACACCTCACTTTCTCATATTCAGGAATAAGCCATCAACAAAACTCAGCCTGGAAATCAGAAGGGAAATGCTTCCAATAAACACACTCAATATCCAACACACAGCTCCAGTCAAACAGTTCAACACAAAGCACTGAGTAAACAGCTCTCTCAGCTGGATCTTCTCACACAGCATTTCCACCTCTGACTGTCCACAGGATAATCAGACTGCCTGAAGATTGGTGTGGATATTATGGGATACAATTTGTATAAAAGCTGCTCCTTCACTCACCATCTCCTCACTTGGTTTTCAGTCCCTATAGGAAGTGAACCAGCTCTGGAAGAGGAAGAGGAGGGAATGGGCAGAGTGGGTGGGCTCTCTGATTGACGTCTCTCACAGTCAATCCAAATATTTCTGCAGCAACATGAGTTTCCCGAAGCTTGGGAGACTGACCGCTGAAATGGAGGTGACTTTGAGCAGCAGATCAGGTGGGGACTTAAACTTGTCATTGTTCCATCTGAATAAAACCTCACTTATTGTAGCTGCTGTCTCAGTTCCCCTCGTAAATGTTTGACAGAGATTTCTAGTGTGGAAATAGCATTCTTCATCCTTGGTGGCTTTCAAACTGACAAGATTAATGTGGAATGAGTATCCTCACACGTGTTTAACAGTAGGTCAGAAAAGGAAGACACAGTGTATCGAAAGAAGCACTGACACGCAGTCGTGGGATCAGCACATGCACAGGAGACTGGAACCTGAGAACAATTCTGTCTCTCTCTTCACAGATGGTGGCACACCTGCTGAGTTTCTTCAGCCTCTGTATGTTTGTTGTAACACTAAAACAATATCATTTTAACACGGGACCAAGAGGGAAAACTCGATGTCAACAGTTCCGTGAGAATTGGGTTGAGAGAACTGGAGGTGCGAACTGGAGGTGGACAAGCTGAGCTCCGAGAGGGCTTGAGTGGAGATAAACAAGAGAAATATGTAAGTTTAGGGCAAGGGACAATGTACATTAAAGAAGTTTGGCCAGATTGGGTTGTGGAAAATTAGAACTATGAGATCAGAGCGAGGGTAGGCCATTCAACATTTGAAACCACTCTATAAGATCATGGATGATCTGCCTCACGTATCAACCCTTCTTTGATGCCAGCTCCTTATGGCTTCTATCTACCTTTTTAAAAATACTTTCAGTGATCTAATCTCTGTAGATCTCTGGGATAGGAAGAGCGGTGGGGTGGGGCAGGATGCTCCAGGTGCAGCCTCGCCAATACCTTGTACAGTTGGAACAAGAGCTCCCTACTTTTAAACATTAATGGTCTTGTAATAAAGGCTAAAATTCAATTTTCCTTCTTCATTAGTTGCTGTGCCTACATGCTAACTTATTGTGTTTCATGCACAAGAACACCCAGACCCCTCTGTGTTGCACTTTTTTGAATTCTTTTTCTATTTAAATCATTGTCAAACTTCTGGTTTTTGCTATCAAAGTCTGCAATCTCACATTTTCCTATATTACATTACATCTATCAGGATTTTGCCCAGTCACTCTCAACCAATCTTTACCCCTTTGATGATTCATTGTATTGACATCACAACATGCTGTCCCATCTATTTTTGTATCATCAGCCAATTTGGATATATTGCAATCTGCCCTTTCCTCCAAATCATTAATGTAGATAGTAAATAATTGAAACCCAAGGTGTGGCACTCCATGAGTTAAGTCATTTCAAACTGAAAAAGACTCATTAAGACCAGAGATAGTAGGAACTGCAGATGCTGGTGAATCCGAGACAACAAGGTGCAGGGCTGGATGAACACAGCAGGCCAAGCAGCATCATAGGAGCAGAGAGGCCCAGATCTAGTTTCTGTGTGTTAACCAATCCTCAATCTGTGCTGTTACCATCATCTCCTAATTTCTGCAATTAATTTTCATGTGCCACTTTACCTTCTGGAAGTCCAAATACATTACATTTCCCTTTATCAGCTCTGCTTGTTATATCCTCAAAAAACTCTCGCAAATTTGTCAAACGTTTTTCCCTTCATGAAGACATATCGTCTGTTTGATTGCATAAAGCTTTGTGAATGTCCTATTTCTTCCTTAATAATGGATTCAAGTATTTTCCTAAGGACAGAGTTAGTCTAACAGGCCTATCATTTTCTGCATTTGTCTCCTCCCTTCTCGAACAGATTTCCAATGTGATGGAAACTTCCGAGAATCCAGTGAATTCCAAAATATTTTGACTAATGCCTTTACTGTCTCTGAAGTCACTTCCTTTAAACCCTTTAGATGTAGGTCCTCAGGTCCTGGCAAATTGTCTACCTTCAGAAACAAAAATAGAAATTGCTGGAAAAACTCAGCAGGTTTAGCAGCATCTGTACAGAGGAAGCCAGTGGTCATTCTTCAGAAGAGAACTCATAGAGACTGTTACAAGGCTTTTCCTTCAATTATCACTTGCTTATCTGATATCTTTCGGATGATTATAGGATCTTCCAGTGTAAAGACAGTTGCAAAATACTGGTTTAAATTATCTGCCATTTCCCAGCTTCCTATTATCAATTGTCCAGTTGCATGCTCCATGAATCCCATACATTTCAACTATTCTCTTTATTTTTACAAAGCTGTAGATGCTCTTGCTGCTAGATTTTTATATTTCTTTTCAATTTAATTTCATAAGCAATTTTCTCCATTTTTATTAACGTTTTTGTCATCTGCTGCTTGCTCCTAAAAAAAAATTCCCAATCATCTGGCCAGAACTAATTTGTATCACTTGTATGCCTTAGTTTTTGATTAGAAGCTCTCCTTTATCACCTTTGTTAATTGTCGGTCGTTCATCCTTGTCATCAATTCCTTCTTTTTGACCTGAATAAATTTTTGCTGAGTGTTACAATTTACCTGTTTAAATGTCTGTCACTGCTCATCAACAGACCTTACTCTTAGTTTATTTCTCCTGCCCACTTTAGACAAGTCTTTCTTTGTAAGTAATTGTCCTTATTTGAGAACATTGATTTGGGACCAAAGTTCCACTCCCCCAAACTGAACTTGACTGCCATTCCCTCAAAGATCCTTAATCCTACCTGATTACTCATTCCTAAATCTAAAATAGCCTTTACCTGGATTTTTTTTGCAACATATGGAACAATCTCTGATCCACTGGAGGAATTCAATTTCCATGTTATAAAGCAGAAGTCGAACCCCACCCCACCAACCCAACAACTAAAACCGAAACACCCAGAGAGGCGCGCCACGCTGTATCATCTGTTAACAAAGTCTCCAATCTCTTATAAAGGTGTGGTTAAATAAAATAAAGCCCTGACACTCACTTTACAATGAACAAGTAACAATTTATTTATCTAACTCTAACAGTGAACAAATTAACTAAACTATGACCAAACCGAATAGATCCCTTCTAACTACTAATTATTCCCAAATAAAACAAGATTCTTATGGTATGCTGTTCCAACAAATACAAATCCCGCTTATATAAACCATAATTTAAAAAATTAGAATTTAGTCTCTCGAAATTACAGCCAAATTACGTCTTCTGGAATGTCCTGTGTCTTCTCTGACAAATTCTTTTGTCAGGAACACCTTCTCAGTGAATCCTTCTGTCAGGAACATTATCTAGTTGAGCCATAGGTACCTTTAAATTTAGATGGAGTTTACTCTAAAGCTTAGAGAATTCTGTGAGAGCCAGTGATTCTTTCTTCTAGAGCTGAGAGCTGTTCTCTTGGCAGATGACAGTTGGCTCTCTCCTGATTTTCCAAATGCCCCCATCTTTTATACCCTTGATGACATATCAATTCCTTACAATAGGATTGGTCCTATGTTGTCAAAACCATCAGATTTAAATTTAATTGGCTTTTGGTATCTATGTGCTTGGTTAAATCAATTAGCTAAATTTAAAATCCTGTTGTGTTGATAAAAATGCTGCTTTGCTTGCTAACAGTATAGCCCTTTTGATATAAATGTTTCAATTCAATTGCTCTGTGGATCTGCAAGCCCACAGACATCTTTTTTGAATCTCTAAGCATAGAAGAAGGACATCATCTTTTAAAGGGACCATGCACTGCTCTCCCCACAGCATTTTACAACCACCAACATTTTACAAACACCAAATTCTAACATCCTGCCTTCCAATCCACAAGTACTCTACCCAACTTCGCAACACCCTGTGTTAAGAAAACAAAATCAACTATCATTATGAAAAGATGGCTTTTTTTTTGTCTAAACTTTAATGCCATTATTACTAGATCCATATCTCATTCGTCTAGACTTACACATTTGATACTAATTCTACATATATACAACATTGAACACTATTGTTTCTATCTTATATAAACACTTTCCTTGTAAACCCATGATAAAGCAGCCGCAGTAACATTTTCACGACCTGCAACATGTACAATCTGTAAATTAAATGCTTGTAACATAAGACTGCAATGAAATACTCTGGTGTTCTCGTCCTTAAATCTTTCCAGAAATGTCAAAGGATTGTTATCGGTATAAATGGCCATCTCTGATGCTTTATTTGCAATGTACATATTCAAATGTTGTAAGGCCAATACTGAACTCACTAACTCGTTTTCAATGGTTAAATGTTTTTTCTGTTGGATATTGAATTTTTTTCAAAAAAAATCAATTGGCCTGTCAATTCCACAATCATCCTCTTGTAATAACACAGCTCCAACCCTTACATTGCTTGTGTCGATAGCAACTTTGAAGGGTTTCAAGAAATTTGGCGAGCTTAAATCTGGTGTGGTGGTTAACACTACTTTTAAATTCTCAAATGCCTCTTGGCCTTGTTCTGTCCATCGGTATTTTTTATTTTTTTTTAACAAATCCATCAGCGGTGCCAACATGCTACTGAAGTTTGGTACAAATTTCCTGTAAAATCCATTCAATCCGAAAAGTAATAGTACTTCCTTCTTCGAGGATGGTCTTGGAAATTCCTTGGTGGCCTTCGTCTTCACGTTACTCGGTGTCATCCATCCGTGTCCAATGTTGTGCCCTAAGAACATCACTTCCGCTTTCATGAATTCTCTTTTTGCCATGTTTATGACCAAATTTTCCTTCTGTAGTTTCTCAAAGAGATCTCCCAAATGCTCCATTTGATCTTTCCACGAATGGCTACAGATCACTAAGTCATCTATACAGACAGCACAAGTAGTGACTCCTGCCACAACTCTGCTCATAAGTCTTTGAAAAGTGGCTGGTGCATTTTTCATTCCTAAGGGAATGACTTTAAATTGATGTAACCTATTTGTGGTTACAAAAGCAGAAATGTCTTTCGCTCTCTCCGATAAAGGTACTTGTCAGTAACTGTGGAGTAAGTCGAACTTTTAGAATTAGAAACAGGTTAGAATTGGGTTTAATGAGGGCTAAGTGGAAAACTAAAATTGTAACAGACAAACATTTAGGTATACCAGAGAAACAGTCAAGTGCAGTGCAGTTAGAAAAAAATTAAATGCAAATGAGACAATTGGAATTAGAAAGTGAACTTAAAGAAAGGGAAAGAATGTTCAAATTTGAAAAGATGAAGTTGGAACTTGAAGCAAAAAGATTTCAAATAGCAGAAGTAAAAGTACAAGGTAGAAGTGATGATGAGCAAACTCATCATAGCCAACAGCCTGGTAGGGATATATACAAATATGTCCAAACATTACCAAAATTCAATGAAAAAGATGTAGAAGCCTTTTTCATTTCCTTTGAGAAATTGGCTGAACAGATGAACTGGCCAGACACTATGTGGGTAATATTAATTCAGACCAAGTTGGTAGGCAAGGCTACTGAGGTGTTTGCAGTGCTGTCAGAGGAGGTGTCAAGAGAACATGAAGAAGTAAAACAGGCTATTTTGAGTGCCTAAGAATTGGTACTAGAAGCATATAGACAATGGTTCAGAAATGTAAGAAAGGAACCAGATCAGACTCATATCAAATTTCAAAGAATTAAACAGACCAACTTTGATAGATGAATGAGAGCATGACAGATAGAAAAGACATATGAGGATCTCAGAGATATTATTCTGCTGGAGGAGTTTAAAAACTCACTTCCAGAAATGATCAGAACTCAGAAAGCGAGAAAACAGAAAAACAGAAACAAAACATAAAACAGAAAGGAACAGCGAAAAGAGCTACAGAGATAGCGGATGAATATGCATTAATGGAAAAATCGAAATGTCGCTTCCAACAGCAATTTCATTCCACGAGGGATCGAAACTGGGAAAGAGGGAGATCTTTCAATGAAAAACAAAATGTAGATCACACTGGGAATAGTTCACCATGTGTGAAAAAATAAACGTAAGAGGGTCAAAAAGAGCTGAAAGACTGCAATAAGGTGGGAACACAAAGTCACAGTGCTGGTGGATTAAGAAAGGCACTGGGAAAAAGGATGTGGTAAAAGAGGCTAAACCAGTGGGATTAGTTGAGGTGGTGAAGGAAATCCCAAGAGAATTTGAGAAGCTGCAAGAGAGTGTGCAGCCTAGTCATGGGCTGGAAAGTAAGATACTGCCTAATCTTTTCAAACACTTCACCTGTGTGAGTAAGGTTTACTCAGGTAAAAGAGATGGAGTAGGGAAAGAAGTTAACATATTTAGAGATATGGGTGCTGGTCAGTGTCTAATAGTAGGAGATAAAAATATTTGCACTCCTTCTGAAACGTTGCTGGAGAGAGTGATAATCTGTTGAATAAATGGAGAGATAATTAGTGTTTCCCTGTGTAAGGTAAGGCTAGAAAGTCCAATCAAGACTGGAGAAATGATAATGGCAGTGATTAAAAAAAGTGGCTATTCCAGGAATACAGTTTGTTCTTAGAAATGATTTTGCTGGATTAAAGATGATGCACCTTGTAGCGGAGAGGCCGAAAGAAAATCAAGGAACTGAGGAGTTAAAAGGAAAATACCCTGGAATTTTTCCTGACTGTGTGGTGACAATATCCCACAGCCATAAGCTAAAACAGGAAGGGAAAACAAAAGAGCAAGATGAAGGAGTTGAGGTCCAGTTAGCTGACACCCTGTTTGATGAAATGGTAAAGGAAAAACCTAAGCAGTAGAGGATCAAGCAGAGGTGTGTAGTTCTTAAGGATTAATAGAATTACAACAAAAAGATGAGACAATAAAGGATTTATATCATAAAGCCTACTTGGACAAGGAATCAGAACATATTCCAGAATTTTATTACCTTAAAGATAAAACCTTAAGGCTGAAATAGAGACTTTGGCAGGTTTGTGCAGATGAGAAATGGGTGGAAGTTCACCAGATTTTGTTGCCGATAGAATACTTCAGGAAGTATTACGGGTAACACACAAGTTACCTGTAGGAGGTCATCTAGGAGTGAGAAAGACTCAGGCTAACGTACTGAAGTATTTCCATTGGCCTGGATTACAAAAAGATGTGGTTGCATTTTGCTGTACCTGTCATATATGTCAAATGGTAGGAAAGCCACAGGAGGTAATAAAAGCAGCGCCTGTGATGCCAATTCCCGCATTTGAAGAACTTTCATGCAGGTTATGATTGATTGTGTAGATCCCCTCTATAAAACCAAAACTGGGCACCAGTATTTGTTAACCATAATACAGAGGCAATTCCATTACGTAATGTTAAAGCCAAAAAGGTTATGGAGGTGTTGCTTGCTTTCTTTACCTGTTATGGACTACCCAGGGAGATTCAGTCAGACCAAGGGTCCAATTTTACTGTCAAATTATTTAAGAAGGTCATGGATGGTTTAGGCATCAAATACTCAAGTATGTACCATCCTGAATCCCATTTTCTGTCTTTCTAGACTTTCTTGGCAAATTTGGGAAGCATCTTCCACGCCCAAAACCTGTTTAGCAATGTGAAGAGCCATTTCCCCACTTCTAATTTAACCAACAGGAAACAACCGAAATTAAACAGATTTTCTACTTCTCACTTAAAGTTTTATTTAAAAGCTCTAGGATACTAGTCCCTAAGTCTGTTTAAATCTGCTGGGATCTTTCGTAGCCCCAATCTGTTATGACGAGAATAGAGGTTCCCTTCTAATAAGTACTCCTGGAACACCCACAGAAGCTTGCCTTTCCCCTCATAATCTATTAAAAGATTGATTAGAAGAAAGAAAATCCCTGATCCACTCTATAAATAACAAGTAACAATTTATTTATTTACCTTAACAATGAACAAATTAACAGCATTAGTAATAACCAAACAATTCCCCCTAAGTACTAAGTATTCCCTAACTGAACTAAATTCGACTGGAATGTTGTTCAAACAATCATGCTTATATAAGCTCAATTAATAAAACAACAATAAATTAAAACTTAATCTCTCCAAGTTCACACAGACTGTGTTTTCTGGACCACTGTGCCTTCTCCAGCCTTTCTTCTGTCGATCTCAAGTCACAAATGTCTTTCTTCCGCTGATTATGCCGTCAGGGATATCTTCCCTCAAAAGACTTTTAGCTGAATATGTCGTGATACCTTTGATTAATTAGATGGTGCTTTCTCTGAGAGCTAAGAAGGTGTTGTCTCTTGGCAGTTGGCTCTCTCCCTGATCTTCAAAAAATCTTTTCTTACATATCCCCGATGACACATCAAATTCTTATAATATGATTGGTTTTAGGTTGTCAACACCATCATTTTTTACATTCAATTTGCTTTGAATTGCTCAGTCCTTGGTTTAAGTTAATTGGCCAAATTCAAACTTGTTGTCAAAACATCAAAACAAGACTGAGAAAGCATGAACTGCAGATGCTGGAGTCAGAGAAAACAAAGTGTGGAGCTGGAGGAACACAGCAGGCCAGGCAGCATAAGAGGAACAGGAAAGCTAATGTTTTGTAAAGGGTCCCTTTACAAAAGCAGTTTCTGTCAAATTGCTGCAAGGCTAAGACAACATCCAGGCTTGGGCTGACAAGTGGCAGTAATTTTGGTACCACACAATAGCCAGGCATTGACCATTTTCAACTAGAGTCTAACCACCATCCATTGACATTCAGTGCTGTTACCATCACTCAACGTCCCACTGTGAATATCCTGGAGGTATTGAAGAGAAAATGAACAAGAAACTGAACACGACTACTACATTCCTGCACTCACCCTTTCTCTTTCCCAGCGCGATCATTTTGCCATAGTCCTCACCTTGGTCCCCACCAGCCTTAATTTTCAACAGATTATTCATCACTACCTCCAGTGTGAAGCTATCTCAAAACATATTTTACCTTCTCCTTCCCATTCAGCATTCCAAAGGACTGTATTCTCTTTGTTACATGGTCTGTTCCTCTATCACCACCAGCTCTTTAGCCACATCCCCCAGCACATTCTTGCACCCCAACATTCCTTCCTCCTGCTTCATCCCTATTCCCCCACACTCAGACTCCACCCCTAGTGGACGGGCTCTGTCCCAGTCTCGGTGTCCTGTGTCCCAAGGCTCTTACCCAGCTGAGACCTCCATTTTTTGAGGCTCAAATTCACTCAGCAGCAGGAAGATCCCAAACCTCAGCTCAGCCCCTTGAAAACCGAGAAATGGACACTCACTCCCACCTTTTCCTTTCGAATGTATGTAATTGAGCCCGGAGTAAGGATTTCAATCTGGGCTATGTCATGGCAGCTGCTGCCCAATCCTTCATCTCCTGTCACCCCCTCAATCTCAGGTTCTCCATGTGAAAGATGAGAGCTGCAAACACTTAGAGAACCACCCGGTCCTGGGTACGGGAATCTCCTGGTCTGAACTGGACACGGAGCACAGGAATCACGCAGTCTGAACTGGACAAGGAGCACAGGAGTACCCCGGTCTGTACAGGGCATCCAGTACACAGGAAATAGAACTAGAGGGAGCCCTTGGAAAAGGAGTCTGTTTCATAAGGTAGGTATAACGGCCTCTGTCCAAAATCTTTATTGATATTTCAATGACATAAAATTACATGAGGTCAGAGAATATGGGAAGTGACAGTGCACAAAGGGATTTATCAGAACACCCTGTTTTATGTAGAAAAAATAACTACATGCACTATCAGTTTCAATTTATATTTTACAAAGAAAATTATCAGACATGGAGAAAAATCTGTTGGTTCTTTCTAGTCTGTTCCAATTTCATCTGTCTCCACACAGTATTACCCATATAACTTTAAAGCATTCAGCTTTTCTAATGTTACGCCTACAAGTCACTGCTGGGCTATACATTTCAATGGCACCTAGTTCCTGAGGTGACTTTGCAGTATGGTTACTGTGGCAGGTATTGCTGGTGTGTTGGTTGTTGCTGCTGATCTGGTGCATTGCTAGAGAATGGCTGAGACTGATGGTTGTTCAGTTGCTTTCTTAGGTTTTGAAATCAGATCTGCCTCTTCAGTCTCTGTCTGCTGTGAAGGAGCAGCTTCTTAAGTCGTGGGTAGATGATTGCAATACTGATTATAGATCTGATCAGTCATTTTCACTGTGTGTGATTGAGGTGATGACTTCTGTATACAGGTCCCAGGTGGCCAAGGGAGCTGACTTCTGTTGAATACGTTGAATGTTTACTCTCTGAATGACACTCCAATTCTCAACTCCTACAATAATTGGAAGTGGTATTAAAGTTATTAAATTTCTGTCAGTTCTCTTTCATCTTCTCACTCATTGTTGTCACTACTTCTAGACTCAGTAGCTTTTTATCATTTGGAAGAGCAGCCTGGGTGTGGTCTGCTATCAATGACTGGACTGGAAAACTTTAGAGCTTGTAGTGACTGTAAAACTATGCCTTTAGTTGTTGTAAATCTGTACTTTAAGATTGCGTTGTACACATCTGTACTAGATGTACTTGATATTTTTTGATGACCCCTTTGGCAATTTCCACATTGCCTCAGCTTTTGACTTGGCTGGCAGATATGTAGTGCTGAATTTCCCAAGCTTTGCTAAGGTGTCTGATCTTCACTCGTGAATTGAAGTAATTGTCACTGATCAAAATGTCAGCAATGTCATGATGACGGAAGTGTGCTTTCAGCCATTCTACAATCTCACTAGGAGTTGTTGAGATCAGCTGCTCTGACTCCCTGATGTCCCAAAAGTGGTTGAATGTGATGAGATAATAATTTCCAGTGAGACTGAAGAGCTGTACTCCAAGCTTCATTCATGGGCTGTCTGGGATGAAATGAGTCATGAGCAGCTCTTTATCTCGTTTAATTTGATGTCCATTACAATCACTGCACTGTCTGATGTGGTACTTCATCTCATTGCTCATGTTTGGGCAGGAAAACACATCCCTTACCTTCCTCAAGCTAAACCCGATTCCTTGCTGGTTTGTGTAGGATGTGTTTCAGCATCTCTCTTCTCATCTCTTCAGGGATAATGACCCTGTTCCCTTTGTACAAGATGCCATCTTGAATGATCACCTCATCTGTTTGTCCAATAGTCTCTGACAGTAAAAAAAGTATACTTAATGCCCATCACAACCTCCTGCAACATCTGAAGAGTTGTAACTCATTGCGTTGTTATCTTATCTGAGAAAGACACTGTTCTGACATATTCAATGTCTTCACTGGTTTGATGTCTTCTGGCACTTGTTGTGCTGATGCTGGTTAAGTTTGGAAGACTCCAAATTCTGTATCAGCATTAACTTCCTTCAGAGAGCGTGCACCTCTCAACAGCATATTGGTGACGTCCATCTGCTTCCCTTGCTTGTACTTCTTGTGTGAAGGCGTTGATGTTTATGAAGGTTTGATGACTCCGAAAATGATTTGTCACATATGTCACATGTAAATGGCTTCTCCCCAGTGTGAATACGTTGGTGTGCACGTAGGTTCGATGACTTTGAGAATGACTTTTCACACAACTCGCACATGAATGGTTTCTCCCCTGTGTGAATTCTTTGGTGGAGCAGGAGTCTTGATGAGTCAGGGAATGATTTGTCACACTCCAAACACTTATACAGTTTCTCGCCTGTGTGAGTACGTTGGTGTGTGCGGAGATTCCCTGACTGCGTGAATGATTTGTCACACACATTACATGTGAATGGTTTTTCTCCAGTATGAGTGCGTTGGTGTGCATGAAGGGTTGATGACTGCGAAAATGATCTGTCACACATCTTGCATGAAAACGGTTTTTCCCCTGTGTGAGTACGTTGGTGTCGGTGGAGAGTTGAAGATAGTGAGAACGATTTATCACAAACCTTGCACTTGAAAGGTTTCTCCCCAGTATGACTACGTTGGTGTGCACGGAGACATGATGATTGCAAGAAGGATTTGTCACAAACCTTGCATGTGAATGGCTTTTCTCCTGTATGAAACTTCTGGTGTGTCAGGAGATTGGAAGATTGGGTGAAAGCTGCCTGACATATCTGACACCTGAATGGTTTCTCCCCTGTGTGAATTCTCTGGTGTATCAGGAGGTGGGTAGATTTCGCAAATGCTTTATCACAGACCTCACACTTGAAACGTTTTTGTTCCATGAAGCTGACCTTGCATTCACAGGTATACACCAGATACACCTTACATTAGACAACTGTTGCACTGCTTTGAGCCGTCCTCTCACACCTCATATCTGAACTGTGTCTCACCTGTAGGAATGAGTCAATGGTTCATCAGGCTCGATGAATGAGTAAAACTCTCACCAGACCTAGAGTCACTCACACTTCTTCCCAGCCTCACCCTCACTGATCACCCACAGCCGAACCTTCAGAAAGGCCGGTTCTGATGGAATGTTCCACACCAATGACCAGTTTCAGATCTGATGATATTGTCCCCTGAACCAAGTGATTCCAGATGATGGTTTCACTGCGCAACTTCCTCTGCATTGAGCAATGCTGTGAAGGGAATGGACATTTTCCCACACATTTGTACAGTTGTTCCTTGAGTGATGGTCAGAATCTATCTGCAGTTTCTATCCTTCCTGTATTCTCTGGTGCAATATGATGCAATCCTTCTGTAAGACAGGAAAAGGAAATATGATTTCCTCCAACTCACTCTCCTCCTTTGCTGAAAGCCTGACTCTTCAGTTAGAGACTTCTACACTGAGTGTCGGTCTCCTGTTTCCTTGTTTTTCTTCACTTGACTGTCACACAAACTCAATTTCTAGCAGGGTCAGCAGGTAGAGACCAGGAGCAGACAATGTGGCTACTTCCCTTCCTCCACCCAGATCCCCATCTTCCCAGGTACTGCGAAGACAATGGAAAAAACTGTCGGGTGGAGTGTGAAATGGGCCATCAATTTGCTTTGAAATCGTCTTGAGCTAGATAAGAAAAGTCTTACTGTGAATGTGTGCGTTTAATATCGAAAACACTCAATAGAATTACATTCTTTCCCTTTTTGATAACTATTTGAGGGAAAAGACACAGGGCAGCAATTACTCTAAGGGAAATATTACTTCAAAGTAGCTGATTGAGCAGTTCTGGCTTATCCTGGGAAATTAGATACATTGTGCTCAGTCAGACTGCACATCCCAATTTCAGCTATCAGACGCAGCACTGGGCAAAACTGTCAAATCTGAGCCCAGCCTTCAGGTAAGATCTTTACAGAAGACATTTAAAGACATTTTAATAAATGTGACTCCAGTTATGGCAGTTGAATTGCTCTGGAACTCGATTAACATTCCAGAGATTGAGAATTCAAATCCAACCATGGCAAGTTACAAACATACAATACAGTAAGAAACAGGCGATTCAGCGCAATTGGTCCATGCCGGTGCATAAGCTTCACACCAGCCTCCTCTCACCCTTCTTCACCTCAGCCTGTCAGCAAATCCTTCTGTTCCTCTCTCCCTCATGAACTTACCTCATTTCCCGCAAAAGACATTTCTGCTCTTCACTTCAACCACTCCATGTTGTGGCGATCCATTTAATTGACTCTGGAATTTGTAAAATAGATGGAAAAGAAGAATACAGACATGAAATTACAGAAACCCAAAATTGTCTTTCGGGAAAAAAAACCGCTGCAGCTGCCTGGGCTGGTCTACATGTGATTCCAGACCCACACAACATGGTTGACCCTGAACTGCCGTCTGAAGTGCCTGAGCAAACAATAATAAACAATCACAGCAAATTCCAATATTAAGAGGAAAATGAGAGAGATCTAGACAATCTTGACGTTGTGTCAGAATAAGATATATTGCTCCTGTTAAAAGACAGGAAGGATGAACAGAGAGGAAGTATTTTCACTGGTTTGGGAGTCTAGGACCAGAGAGACTATCTAAAAATTTACAGGCAGATCTTTCTGGAAAAAACAGTTTGAGACACAAAGGACAGGAGAAGACTGGAATTCAGTTCCACAAATGAAAAATGGTACAAAATCTATGATCGATATTAAATGCGAGATTTTTGCTTACCAAACATTTGAAGGGACCTGGGAACAGGGCAGGAAAGTAAAGTTCGATCACATTAGCACTTTGAACTCACAGAATAGTGGGACATATTTGAGGCACTAAATTGCTGACTTCTATTCCTTTGTACAGTCCCAAAAAGCCAACACACCCTCAGCAGTACCCTTTGGACAGGACCTCATTTCCTCAAGGACAGTGAATAAATTACACTCTACAGGATAATAGCACGCTTTTCAATAATCATAAGGAAATCAGTCAATTTCCTCAGACAATCTGTTTTATTACACCTCACCTTCTCATATTCAGGAATGAACCATGGACAACACAGCCTGGAAATGAGAAGGGAAATGCTTTCAATAAACACACTCAATATCCAACACATAGCTCTAGTCTAACAGTTCAGCACAAAGCACTGAGTAAACAGCTCTCTCAGCTGGATCTTCTCACACAGCATTTCCACCCCTGATTGCCCACAGGATAGTCAGACTGCCTGAAGATTGGTGTGGATATTATGGGATACAATTTGTATAAAAGCTGCTCCTTCACTCACCATCTCCTCATTGGTTTTCAGTCCCTATAGGAAGTGAACCAGCTCTGGAAGAGGAAGAGGAGAGAATGGGCAGAGTCGGTGAGCTCTCTGATTGACGTCTCTCACAGTCAGACCAAATATTTCTGAAGCATCATGAATTTCCTGAAACTTCGGAAACTGTTCGGTGAAATGGAGGTGACATTGAGCAGCAGATCAGGTGGGGATTTAAACTTGTCATTGTCCCATCTGAATAAAATCTCACTTATTGCAGCTGCTGTCTCAGCTCCCCTGGTAAATGTTTGACAGAGATTTCGAGTGTGGAAATAACATTCTTCATCCTCACAGGCTTTCAAACTGACAAGATTAATGTGGAATGAGTGTCCTCACATGTGTTTGACAGCAGGTCAGAAAAGGAAGACCCACAGTACCAAAAGCAGCACTGACATGCAGTGGTGGGATCAACACATGCACAGGAGATGGGAACCTGAGAACAACTCTGAACAAAGTTCACACTGAATTCAAAATGTTAACTTTTTTTTTCTCTCTCAACTAACAGTGGCACACCTAACATATCATCTAATGTGCGACCAAGAGGGAAAACTGGATGTCAGCAATTCAGTGAGAATTGGGTTGAGGGAACAGGAGGTGCATCTTGTAGACAAGATGAGCTCAGAGAGGGCATGAGTGGAGATAAATGAGAGAAAAATGTGAGTTTAGGGCAAGGGACAATGTACACTAAAGGAAGTTTGGCCAGGCTGAGTTGTGGAAAACTAGAACCAAAGAAATTGGAGCAGGAGTAGGCTATTTATTCTTTATAGCCATTCTATAAGATAATGGATGATCTGCCTCACATATCAACTGTTCTTTGATGCCAGCCCTCAACTTCTTGATATTTAAAACATCTAGCTACTTCTTTTTAAAAATACTTTCAGTGATCTAACCTCCACAGATCTCTGGGGTAGGAACAGGGGTGGGGTGCGGGAAGGATGCTCCGGGTATAGCCTCACCAATACCTTGTAAAGTTGGAACAAGAGCTCCCCATTTTTAAACATGAATGCCCTTGCAATAAAGGCTAAAACTCCATTTGCCTTCGTGATTACTTGCCGTGCCTACATGCTAATGTTTTGTGTTTCACACACAAGAACACCCAGATCGTTCTGCAGCAAGTGTTGGTTGCTGGAAGAACTGCGGCTCAGAGTTGAAGATCTGGAATCTGAGCTTCAAACACTGCGGCACATCCGGGAGGGGGAGAGCTCCCTGGACGCTTTGTTTCAGGAGGCAGTCACACCTGTTAGATTAAGTAATTCAAATTCAGTGATCAGAGACAACAGGGTGTGACTGCAAGTGAGGCAGGTAAGGGGATCCTGAGTTCAGGAGTGGAGGAGCCTCAGCTTTTGACCTTATCCAACAGGTACAAGATACTTGCTCCCTGTGTGGATGAGGAAAAGGGCTGTGGGGAGGATGAGCCAGCTCACCGCGGCACCATGGTGCAGAAGGCCATTCAAGAGGGGGGAGCAAATAGACAAGTGGTAGTTATAGGGGATTCTATCGTTAGGGGGATAGATAGTATCCTTTGCAAGCCGGATCGGGAGTCCCGCATGGTGTGTTGCCTGCCTGGTGCCAGGGTGCAGGACATCTCTGACTGGCTTGAAAGGATATTGGAGCGGGAGGGGGAGGATCCAGTTGTTGTGGTCCACGTTGGGACTAACAACATAGGCAAGGCTAGGATGGAGGACCTGTTTGGGGATTATCAAGCACTAGGAACGAATTAAGGAACAGGTCCTCGAGGGTCATAATCTCCGGATTACTGCCCGAGCCACGTGCAAATTGTCTTAGGGATAAGAAAATTAGGGAAGTAAACACGTGGCTAAGGGAGTGGTGTGGGAAAGAGGGGTTCCATTTCATGGGGCATTGGCATCAGTTTTGGAACCGGAGGGATCTGTACCGATGGGACGGTCTCCACCTGAACCGATCTGGAACCAGTGTTCTTGCGAAAAGGATAAATAGGGTGGTCACTAGGACTTTAAACTAGTGAGTTGCGGGGAAGGGAAAGGGAAAACGACAGGGAGTATGATGGTAAATAAAAAGGTAAGCAGCAGGTTAGCATGTGTGCAGGAGGGTTTAAGTTCAAGGCAGACTATGAAAGAAGCAAAAAGGAAGGATAACTCAGGAGATATTATTAGAGATGTTGGAAATCATGAGGGTAAGAAAGCTAGCATAAAGGCACTTTACCTGAATGCTCGTAGCATTCGTAACAAGGTTGATGAGTTAACGGCACAAATCATTGCGAATGAATATGATTTGGTAGCCATTACGGAGACATGGTTACAGGATGGTCACGACTGGGAGTTAAATATCCAAGGGTACCAGACTATTCGGAAGGACAGACAGGAAGGTAAGGGAGGTGGTGTAGCCCTGATATTCAAGGACGCCATCAGGGCGGTGCTGAGAGATGATATAGGTTCTATGGAGAATGAGGTTGAATCCATTTGGGTGGAAATTAGAAATTCTAAGAGGAAAAGTCACTGATAGGCGTAGTCTATAGGCCACCAAATAATAACATCACATTGGGGCGGGCAATAAACAAAGAAATAACTAATGCCTGTAAAAATGGTACGGCAATTTTCATGGGGGTTTTAACCTACTTGTAGATTGGTCGAACAGCTCGGTCAGGGTAGCCTTGAGGAGGAGTTCATTGAGTGTATCCGTGATAGTTTTCTTGAACAGTATGTAATGGAACCAACGCAGGAGCAAGCTATCCTGGACCTGGTCCTGTGTAATGAGACAGGAATAATTAATGACCTCATAGTTAGGGATCCTCTTGGAAGGAGTGATCACAGTATGGTTGAATTTAAAATACAGATGGAGAGTGTGAAGATAAAATCCAATACCAGGGTCCTGTGCTTGAACAAGGGGAACTACAATAGAATGAGGGAGGACTTGGCTAAAGTAGACTGGAAACAAAGATTTTATGGTGGGACAGTTAACGAGCAGTGGAGGACTTTCAAAGCAATTTTTCAAAGTGCTCAGCAAAAGTATATTCCAATGAAAAGGAAGGACTGTAAGAAAAGGGGTAATCTGCCATGGGTGTCTAAAGAAATAAGGGAGGCTATCAAATTGAAAGAGAAGGCATACAAAGTGGCCAAAAACAGCATGAAACTAGAAGATTGGGAAAACTTTAAAGGTCAACAGAAAGCCACAAAAAGAGCTATAAGGAAAAGTAAGATAGAACATGAGAAAAAACTAGCACAGAATATAAAGACAGATAGGAAAAGTTTCTAAATATATAAAACGAAAAAGAGTGGCTAAAGTAAACGTTGGCCCTTTAGAGCAATGAGAAGGGGAATTTAGTTATGGGATATGATGAAATGGCCAAGGCATTGAACAGGTATTTTGTATCGGTCTTCACAGTGGAGGACACTAATAACATGCCAGTAATAGACAAAGAGACTAAGGTAGGTGAGGACCTGGAAACAATCATAATTACGGAAGAGGTAGTGTTGGGCAAGCTAATGGAGCTAAGGATTGATAAGTCTCCTGGCCCTGATGGAATGCATCCCAGGGTACTAAAAGAGATGGCGGGAGAAATAGCAGGTGCACTGGCGGTAATTTTCCAAAATTCGCTGGACTCTGGGGCAGTCCCAGTAGATTGGAAAACAGCAAATGTGACGCCACTGTTTAAAAAGGGAAGTAGACAAAAGATGGGGAATTATAGACCAGTTAGCTTAACCTCTGTAGTGGGGAAGATGCTTGAGTCTATTATCAAGGAAGAAATAGCAAAGCATCTTGATAGGAATTGTACCGTTGGGCAGACGCAGCATGGGTTCATGAAGGGCAGGTCATGCTTGACAAATCTTTTGGAATTCTATGAAGACATTACGAGCGAGGTGGACAATGGGGACCCAGGGGGTGTGGTGTACCTAGACTTCCAAAAGGCCTTTGACAAGGTGCCGCACAAGAGGCTACTGCATAAGATAAGGATGCATGGCATTAAGGGTAAAGTATTAGCATGGATAGAGGATTGGTTGACTAACAGGAAGCAAAGAGTGGGGATAAATGAGTGCTATTCTAGCTGGCAGTCAGTGACTAGTGGTGTGCCTCAGGGATCGGTGTTGGGACCGCAATTATTTACAATTTATATAGATGACTTGGAGCTGGGGACCACATGTAGGGTGTCAAAGTTTGCAGATGACACTAAGATGAGTGGCAAAGCAAAGTGTGCAGAGGACTGTGAAACTTTGCAGAGGAACGGAGATACATTGAGTGAGTGGGCAAAGGTCTGGCAGATGGAATACAATGTAAATAAATGTGAAGTCATACATTTTGGTAGGAGTAATAGTAAAAAGGATTATTACTTGAATGGTAAAAAGTTACAGCATGCTGCTATGCAGAGGGACCTGGGTGTCCTTGTGCATGAATCACAGAAGGTAGGTCTGCAGGTACAACAAGTAATTAGGAAGGCAAATGGAATTTTGTCCTTCATTGCTATAGGGATTGGAATAAAAAGCAGAGAGGTTATGTTGCAGCTGTACAAGGTGCTGGTGAGGCCACACCTAGAGTACTGTGTGCAGTTTTGGTCTCCTTACTTGAGAAAGGATGTACTGGCACTGGAGGGGGTGCAAAGGAGATTCACTCGGTTGATTCCGGAGTTGAGGGGGTTGGCTTATGAGGAGAGACTGAGTAGATTGGGATTATATTCATTGGAATTCAGAAGATTGAGGGGGGATCTTATAGAAACATATAAAATTATGAAGGGAATAGATAAGATAGAAGTAGAGAGCTTGTTTCCACTAGCAGGTGAAGCTAGGACAAGAGGTCATAGCCTCAAGATTAGAGGGAGCAGATTTAGGACTGAACTGAGAAGGAATTTCTTCACCCAGAGGGTTGTTAATCTATGGAATTCCTTGCCCAGTGAAGTAGTTGACGCTACTTCAGTAAACGCTTTTTAAAAAAAAGGTAGATTTTTTTTGAACAATAAAGGAATTAAGGGATACGGTGAGAACGCGGGTAAGTGGATCTGAGTCCATGAAAAGATCAGCCACGATCTTATTGAATGGCGGAGCAGGCTCGAAGGGCCAGACGGCCTACTCCTGCTCCTAGTTCTTGTGTTCTTGTGTTCTGTGTTGCACTTTTTTGCATTCCTTTTCTGTGTAAATAATCATCTGACTTTTGGTTCTTTCTACCAAAATCCACCACAATCTCACATTTTCCTACATTCCATCCGCCAGGATTTTGCCCAGTCACTCTCAACCAATCTTTACCTCTTTGCTGATTCATTGTATTCACATCACAACATGCTATCCCATCTATTTTTGTATCATCAGCCAATTTGGATATATTGCAATTTGCCCTTTCCTCCAAGTCATTAACATAAATCATAAATAATTGAGACCAAGGCGTGGCACTCTGTGAGTTAAGTTGTTCTAAGCCGAAAAAGACTATTCCCAGATCTGGCTTCTGTGTGTTAACCAATCCTTAATCTGTGCTAATACCATCATCTCCTAACATCTGTAGTCAACTTTTATGTGGTACTTCACTGAATGCCTTCTGGATATCCAAATACAATCCATTTTCCGGTTCTCCTTTATCATCTCCCATCATCTTGTTATATCCTCAAAAACTCTAGGTGATTTGTCAAACATGTTTTCCCCTTTATGAAGACATGTCTGAAGACATGTCGTCTGCTTGATCTGCTTTGTGAATGACCTATTTCTTCCTTAATAATGGATTCAAGTATTTTCCTAAGGACAAAGTTCGTCTAACAGGCCTATCATTTTCTGTATCTGTCTCCCTCCCAACTCAAACAGTGGCATCACATTAACAGATTTCCAATGTGATGGAAACTTCCCAGAATCCAGTGATTCCGAAACATTTTGACTAATGCTTTCACTATCTCTGCAGCCGCTTCCTTTAAAACCTTTGGATGTAGGTCCTCAGGTCCCGGCAAATTGTCTACTTTCAGAAACAAAATCCAAAATTGCTGGAAAAACTCAGCAGCTCTACAGCACCTGTAGAGAGGAAGCCAGTGGTCATTCTTCAGAACAGAAGTGATAGAGATTGTTACAAGGCTTTTCCTCCAATTATCACCTGCTTATCTGATATCTTTGGAATTATTATTGGATCTTCTACTGTGAAGACCATTGCAAAATACTGGTTTAAATTATCTGACATTTCCCAGCTTCCTATTATCAATTCTCCAGTTATGTGCTCCATTTCAACTATTCTCTTTATATTTTTTATACGTATAGATGCTCTTGCAGCTGGATTTTTATATTCCTTTCCAATTTACTTCCATAAGCAATTTTCTCCCAATTTATTAACTTTTTGTCATCTGCTGCTTGCTCCTAACAAAAAGTTCCCAACCTGTGGTCTACCACTAATTTGTGTCACTTTGTATGCCTTAGTTTTTAATTAGAAGCTCTCCTTTTCCAACTTTGTTCACTGTGGATTGTCATCCTTGTCGTCAAATCCTTCTTTTTGACCTGAATAAATTTTTGCTGAGTATTATAATTTTATCTGTCTGTCACTGCTCATCGACAGACCTTACTCTGAGTCTATTTCTCCTGCTTACTTTAGACAACTCTTTCTTCATAAGTAATTGTCTTTGTGTGTGTACACAAGTTTGGGACCAAAGTTGCACTCCCTCAAACTGAACTTGACATTTTCCACACTTCGACTGCCATTCCCTCAAAGATCCTTAATCTTACCTGATTACTCATTCCTAAATCTAAAATAGCTTTTTCCCAGGTATATTCTGCAACATAAGGAACAATCTCAGAGCCCCCAGTCTGTTATAAGGAGTGGTGAGATAAAATGATCCCTGACACTCACTTTATAATTAACAAGTAACAATTTATTTATCTAACTCTAACAGTGAACAATCCAAACAAATTCCTTCTAACTACTAACTATTCCCAAATAAAACAAGGTTCTAATGGTATGCTGTTCCAACGAATACAACTCCCACTTAAATAATACAAAATTAAAGAAAAGTAAAATTTAGTCTCTCAAAATTACAGCCAAATTACGTCTTCCTGAATGTCCTGTGTCTTCTCCGAAGAATTCTTTTGTCAGGAACACCTTCACAGTGAATCCTTCTGTCAGGAAAATTAACTATTTGTGCCATAGACACCTTGAATTTAGATGGAGCTGACTCTAAGTCTTAGATACTTCTGTGAGAGCCAGTGATTCTTTCTTTTAGAGCTAAGAGCCGATCTCTTGGCAGATGACAGTTGGCTCTCTCCCAGTTTTCCAAATGCCCTCATCTTTTATACCTTGATGACAAATCAGTTTCTTATAATGGGATTGGTTCTATGTTGTCAAAACAATCAGATTTAAATTGAATTGGGTTTTGGTACTTCAGGGCCCGGTTTAAATTAATTGGCTAAATTTTTAAAAATGTTGTCTTGGTAAAAATGCTGCTTTACCTGCTAACAGTATAGCCTTTTGATACAAATGTTTCAAAAGGTGCTCCATGCACCTGCAAACACACAGACATCCTTTTTGAATGTCTAAGCATGGAAAAAGCATATCATCTTTTGAAGGGACACGCGCTGCTTTCCCCGTAGTATTTTACACACGTGTTAAACTGTTCCCAATGTATCTATATTTTGTTTTTCATGAAGGATCACTCTCTTTCCCAGTTTCGATCCCTCGTGGAATGAAATTGCTATTGGAAGCTACATTTTGATTTATGCACTAATGTATATTCATCCGCCATCTCTGCAGCTCTTCTCGCTGTGTTAACTTTCTGTCCCTCAACATGAGTTCTGATTATTTCTGAGATTCTAAACTCCTCCAGCAGAATAACATTACTAAGATCCTCATATGTCTTTTCGATCTTTCATGATCTCAATCATCTATCAAAGTTGCTCTGTTTAATTCTTTGAAACTCGATATGAGTCTGATCTGGTTCCTTTCTTACGTTTCTGAACCATTGTCTATATGCTTCTAGTACCAATTCTTAGGCATTCAAAATAGCCTGTTTTACTTCATGTTCTCTTGACACCTCCTCTGACAGCACTGCAAACACCTCAGCAGCCCTGCCTACCAACTTGGTCTGAATTAACTTTACCCACATAGTGTCTGGCCAGTTCGTCTGTTCAGCCAATTTCTCAAAGGAAATGAAAAAGGCTTCAAGTTCCGAATTCATCTTTTCAAATTCAAATGTTCTTTCCCTTTCTTTAAGTTGACTTTCTAATTCCAATTGTCTCATTTGCAATTTAATTTTTTTCCAACTGCACTGCACTTGACTGTTTCTCTGGTATACCTAAATGCTTGTCTGTTACAATTTCAACTTTCCACTTGGCCTTCATTAAACCCTATTCTAGCCTGTTTGCTACTTCTAAAAGTGTCCCCTTTTTCTGTCTTTCTAGACTTCCTTGGCAAATTTGGGAAGCACCTTCAACCTACAAAACATCTTTAGCAATGTGAAGAGCCGTTTCACCACTTTTGATGTAACCAACAACAAGAAAGCAAAATTAAACAGATTTTCCACTTAATTTAAAGCTCTAGGATACTAGTCCCCAAGTCTGTTTAAATCTGCTGGGACCTTACGTAGCCCAAATTTGTTCAAATCGGTCCAAATCTGTCCTAATCCTGGACCTGATCTGTCCCAACCTGTTCCAATTCTAGACCTGAGCTGGCCAGATCCTGGACCCGAGCCCCCAATCAGTTACAAAGTGGTTGTCGACCCCCTCTCTGATTTATAGAACTGAAACACACAGAGGCATGCCTCACCCTATAATCTGTTAAACGAGCCCCAATCTGTTAGAAAGGAGTGGTTAAATAAAATAAACCTCTGACACTCACTGTATAATCAAGTAACAACTTGTTTATCTAACTCTAACAATAAACAAGTTAACTGAACTATTAACAAACCAAACAAATTCCTTCTAAGTATTAACTATTCCTGAATAAAACAAGATTCTAATGGTATGCTGTTCCAATAAATACAAGTACCACTTATATAAACCAAAATTATTTAAATTAGAATTTAGACTCTCAAAACCACAGCCAGTGTGTTCCGGAATGTTCTGTGTCTTCTCTGATGAATTCTTCTGTCAGAAACATTAACTAATTGTGCCGTAGGTACCTTCAACTTAGATGGAGCTAACTCTAAGGCTGTGAGAACCAGTGATTCTTTCTTTTAGAGCTGACGGCTGTTCTCTTGGCAGATGCCAGTTGGCTGTCTCCAGATTTTTTAAATGCCCTCATCAATGCCCATATCAATTTCTTACAGTAGGATTGGTCGAACATTGTCAAAACCATTGGATTTAAATTTCATTGGTCCTGGTTTAAATTAATTGGCTAAATGTAAGAACTTGCTGTCTTGGTAAAAATGCTGCTTTGCCTGCTAACAGTTTAGCCTTTTGATACAAATGTTTCAATTCAGGTGCTCTGTGCACCTGCAAACCCACAGTCATTTGTTTTAAATCTCAAAGCATAGAAAAAGCACATCACCTTTTAAAGAGACCATACACTGCTTTTGCCACAGCATTTTACAAACACAAACATTTTACAAACACCATATTGTAATGTCCTGCCTTCCAATCCACAAGTACTCTGCCCAACTTTGCAACACGTTACCCTTACACTTACCTGATTTGACCGGTCAATATGCAGACTGAAATTATCTATACCAACTATAGAGCCAACACACGACTTTGATCTGTGACTTCTTTCTCTTGCTATTCCTTAATTCCACACAATCTGATTTCACATCATCATCATCTATTAAACCCATATCACTATTCACCACTGTACGTACATACCCCTTACCCCACTTCGTTTTCCTTTCTGTGTATCTTTTTCCAGAAGGTCGAACACTCTTGAATTTGAGTTCCCAGTCCTGGTCACCCTGCAATCATGTCTCCTTAATAGCCATCAAGTCATATTCATTTATTTCTATTTTTTCTGTCAACTAATCTATCTTGTTACAAATACTGTGTCCATTGAGATAAATATATTTTTAAAACTTTAAAGAACTTTTTACCATCATCACTTATTCTGATTCTAATTTTTGCTGTGCTCTTCTGCTTATATTTTCTTTTCCTTTCTGTCACACTTTGATTATTGTTTCTCTATTTATCATCCTGCACCTCTGCAATATTCTTTCTTTTAAGTGTTTCTTTCTCCCACTAATTACTTAAAAGCCCTACCTAGAACTCTAGTTATATAATCTGCCAGATCTGGGACACCATGAAGTCTCACGGTACTAGGTCAAAAATGGGCAGGGGTACCTCCTGCTCATTACGATGTATCGCCTGCCCTCGACTGATCAATCAGTTTTCCATGTTGAAAAACACTTGGAGGATGCATTGAGGTTGGAAATGGTGCAGAACGTATCCCAGGTGTGGAATTTTAATGTCCACTACCAAGGGTGGCTTGGCAGCACTCCAACGGTTGAGCTGGTCATGTGGAAAAAGACATAGCTCCTCGGTTGGTTGTGCAGCAGGTGGTGAAGGAACATACCAGAAGAAAAAGTCTACTTGGCTTTATATTCACCAATAATGAGATGAAGTCCTGCCTTCACATTGAAAATATCTTACATCATGTTGTCGTACGGCACCATCACTGTGCTAAGTGGGACCGTCTTTGCAGACAAATAGCAGCTCAAGACTGGACATACATAAAGTGCTGTGGTCATCAGTAGCAGCACAATCATATGCAAATACATACTGCAACCTCATGGACCAGCATATACCCTGCTCCACCACTACATCACTGAGATCCAGTCTGGTTCAATAGAGGGTGCAGGAGGGCATGCCAGAAGCAGCACCAGGCATGCTGAAAATTGAGGTGTCGACTGTTTACAGTTCCAAAAGAAGACTATTTGCATGCCAAACAGCATAAATAGCAAGTGATAGACAAAGTGATTCCATAACCAATGGATCTAAGCTCTGCAGTCCCGCCACATCCAGAGTTAAGTGGTGGACAATTAAGCAGCTCTCTGGTAGAGGAGGCCCCACATATATCCATATCCTCAATGTTGGTGAAGTCAGCACATGAGTGAAAATGACAAGGAATAGATGATTTGCTCCAGAGATTGCCAGCCTTACAGATGCTGGTCTTCAGCCAATTCAGTTCACTCCATGTGATAACAAGAAATAGTATCATCAAGAAACTGCATACCACAAAGGCTCTGGACACTGGCAACATTCCAGCAAAAGTACAAAAGACTTGTACCATAGAACTTGCTGCACCCAAGTCAAACTATTCCAGTACAACTCCAACACTGGCATCTATTTGGAAAATTACCTACGTATGTCCTGCACACAAAAAGCAGGACAAATCCAATCCAGCCGATTACTGCACCACCAGTCTACTCTGAATCATCAGTAAAGTGATGGAAGGTGCCATCAACTGTGCAATCAAGTAGCGCCTGCTTAGCAATAACCTGCTCAGTGATGCACAGTTTTTCTTCCGCCAGGGCCACTCAGCTCCTGACCTCATTACAGCCTTGGCTCAAACATGGACAAAAGAGCTGAATTCCAGAGGGGAGTAATCGCCCATGATATCAGCACATTTGACTGAATGTGGCATTTGACCAAGGAGCTTGGTTGTTTAAAAGACATTTGGATAAGTTCATGAATGGGAAAGGTTTGGAAGGAGACGGGCAAGGAGCAGGCAGGTGAGACTAGCTTAGTTTGGGATAATGTTCAGCATGGACTGGTTGGACTACAGGGTCTGTTTCCATGCTGTATGACTCTGAGAACTGGAATTAATAAAAATCAGGTGAAAGCCCTCTGCTGGTTAGAGTCATACCTGACACATAGGAAGATGGTTGTAGTTGTCGCAGGTGTTCCTCAGTTTCATTGGCCAAACACTCTTCAGCTGCTTCATCGAAGATCTTCCCTCCATCAGAAGGTCAGAAATGGTGGTGTTTGCCAACGATTGCACAACATTCAGCTCTATTCACGACTCCTCAGATACTGAAGCAGTTTGTGTCAACTTTCTGCAAGGCTAAGACAACAGCCAGGCTTGGGTTGACAACTGGCAGTAATTTTGGTACCACAAGAGCCAGGTATTGACCATTTTCAAAAAGAGTCTAATCATCATCCGCTCAGTGTCCCACTATGAATATCCAGGAGGTAACAATTGAAAAGAAACTGAACGAGAAACTGAACACAACTACTACATTCATGCACTCACCCTTTCCCTTTTTCCAGTGAAATCATTTTGCCACAGTCCTCACCTTGCTCCTCGCATTTTTCTTCTACCAGGCCACTCAGCTCATTACAGCCTTGGCTCAAACATGGACAAAAGGGCTGAATTCCAGAGGTGGGTGATCGCCCCAATTTTCAACAGATTTTTTATCGCTACCTTCAGTATGATAGCATCTCAAAACACATTTTACTTTCCCCCCCCCCACAGCGTTCCAAATGACTCTACTCTCTTTGATACACTGCTCTGTTTCTCTGTCACCACCAGCTCTTTGGCCACTCCTCCCAGCGCATTCTTGCACCTCAACATTCCCTCCTCTCACTTCATCCCTATTCCCCCAATCTCAGACTCCACTGCTTGCAGACAGTGTCCTAAAGCTCTTACCAGGTCAGATCTCCATTTCTGACGTTTGAACTCACTCAGTTGTAGGAAGATCCCAAACTGCAGCTCAGCCTGTAAATAATCTGGAGATGGACTATGTCATGTCACCTTCTCCCCAATCCTTCATCTCCCGTCACCCTTTCAATCTCAGGTTTTCCATGAGAGCTGTAAACACTTTGGGAACCACCCGGTCTGAACTGGACAGAGAGCACCGGAATCTCCTTGTCTGAACTGGACAGGGAACACGGGAATCTCCCGGTCTGAACTGGACACGGAGCACAGGGAATACCCATATCTGAACTGGACAGGGATTGCTGCAGTACCCTTGGCTGAACTGGATAGGGTGCACAGAAATACACTGGTCTGAATTGGACACGGCATCCAGTGCACAGGAAACAGAACTAAAGGGAGCCCCTTGGAAAAGGAGTCTGCTTCATAAGGTAGGTTTAATGGCTACTGTCCGATAACTTTACTGATAATTAAATGACATAAAGTGACATGAGGTCAGAGAACATGGGAAGTGACAGTGCACAAAGAGATTTATCAGAACACCCTGTTTTATGTCGAAAAAAAATTACATGCACTATCAGTTTCAATTTATGTTTTACAAAGAAAATTATCAGACATGGAGAAAAATCTGTTGGTTCTTTCTGGTCTGTTCCAATTTCATCCATGCCCACACAGTATTACCCATATAACTTTAAAGCATTCAGCTTTTCTAATATTACACCGACAAGTTGTCGCAGGGCTATATATTTCATGTCACCTAGTTCCTGAGATGACTTTGCTTCTCGGGGGAATATGATTACCATGGCAAGTATTGCTGGTGTGTTGGCTGTTGCTGCTGATCTGATGCATTGTGAGAGAATGGTTCGGACTGATGGCTGTTCAGTTGCTTTCTTAGGTTTTGAAATCAGATTTGCCTCTTCCGTCTCTGTCTGCTGTGAAGGAGCAGCTTCTTAAGTTGCAGGTAGATGACTGCAGTACTGATGATAGATCTGATCAGTCATTTTCACTGTGTCTGATTGAGGTGACGACTTCTGTATACAGATCCCAGGTGGCCAAGGGAGCTGACTTTTGTTGAATGTATACTGTCTGAATGACACTCCAATTCTCAACTCCTACAATAATTGGAAGTGGTATTAAAGTTATTAAATTTCTGTCAGTTCTCTTTCATCTTCTCACTCATTGTTGTCACTACTTCCGGACTCAGTAGCTTTTTATCATTTAGAAGAGCAGCCTCAGTGTGGTCTGCTCTCAGTGACTGGATTCGAAAACATTAGGAGCTTTTATTAATTGTAAAACTGTGCCTTTAGTAATTGTAAATCTCTACTTTAAGATTGTGTTGTACACATCTGTGCTGGATGTACTCGATATTTTGGGTGATCCCTTTGGCAATTTACACATTGCCTCAGCGTTTGACTTCACTGGCAGATATAGGCGGTGCTGAATTTCCCAAGCATTGCTAAGGTGTCTGATCTTCACTCGTGATTTGAGATCATTGCCACTGATCACAATGTCAGCAATGTCATGATGACTGAAGTATGCTTTCAGACATGCTACGATCTCACTCAGATTTGGTGACATTAGCTGCTCTGACTCCCTGATGTCTCAAAAGTGGTCAAATCTGATGAGATAATCATTTCCAGTGAGATTGAAGAGCTGTACCCCAAACTTCATTCATGGGCTGTCTGGGATGTAACTAGTCATGAGCAGCTCTTTATCTCATTTAGTTTGATGTCCAATACAAGCACTGTGGTCCTTCATCCATTGCTCATGTTTGGACAGTAATGTATATCTCTTACTTTCCTCACATTAGACCCAATTCCTCGATGGTTTGTGTAGGATGTGCTTCAGCATCTTTCTTCTCATCTCTTTAGGGATAATGACCCTGTTGCCTTTGTACAAGATGCCATCTTGAACAATCACCTCATCTGTTCGTCCAATAGTCTCTTACAGTAAAAAATGTATTCCTTAATGGGCATCACAACCTCCTGCAACATTTGAAGGGTTGTGACTCATTGTCTTGTTATTTTATCTGAGAAAGACACTGTTCTGACATATTCAATGTCTTCGCTGGTTTGATGACTTCCGGCACATGTTGTGGTGTTGCTGGTTATGTTTGGAAGGACCCACATTCTGTTTCAACATTAACATTCTTCAGAGACCGTGCAGCTCTCAACAGCATATTGGTGACATACATCTGCTTCCCTTGCTTGCGCTTCTTGTGTGAAGGCGTCGATGTTTATGGAGGTTTGATGACTCCGAAAATGATTTGCCACATACGTCACATGTAAATGGCTTCTCCCCAGTGTGAACACGTTGGTGTGCACGTAGGTTCGATGACTTTGAGAAAGATTTATCACACACCTTGCATATGAATGGTTTCTCCCCTGTGTGAATTCTCTGATGGAGCAGGAGTCTTGATGAGTCAGGGAATGATTTGTCACACTCCAAACATTTATATAGTCTTTCCCCTGTGTGAATGCGTTGGTGTGTGCGGAGATTCCCTGACTGCGTGAACGATTTGTCACACACATTACATGTGAATGGTTTTTCTCCGGTATGAGTGCGTTGGTGTGCGTGAAGAGTTGATGACTGCGAAAATGATTTGTCACAAATCTTGCATACAAACAGTTTGTCCCGTGTGCGAGTACGTTGGTGTCGGTGGAGAGTTGAAGATAGTGAAAATGATTTATCACAAACCTTGCACTTGAATGGTTTCTCCCCAGTGTGACTACGTTGGTGTGCACGGAGATATGATGATTGCAAAAAGGATTTGTCACAAACCTTGCATGTGAATGGCTTTTCTCCTGTATGAAACTTCTGGTGTGTCAGGAGATTGGAAGATTGGGTGAAAGCTGCCTGACATATCTGACACCTGAATGGTTTCTCCCCTGTGTGAATTCTCTGGTGGAGCAGGAGTCTCGATGAGTTAGGGAATGATTTATCACACTCCAAACACCTATACAGTCTCTCCCCTGTGTGAGTGCGTTGGTGTGTGCGGAGATTCCCTGACTGTGTGAACGATTTGTCACACACATTACATGTGAATGGTCTTTCTCCGGTATGAGTGCGTTGGTGTGCGTGAAGAGTTGATGACTGCGAAAATGATTTGTCACAAATCTTGCACACAAACGGTTTTTCCCCTGTGTGAGTACGTTTGTGTCGGTGGAGAGTTGAAGATAGTGAGAATGATTTATCACAAACCTTGCACTTGAACGGTTTCTCCCCAGTGTGACTACGTTGGTGTGCACGGAGATATGATGATTGCAGGAAGGATTTGTCACAAACATTGCATGTGAATGGCTTTTCACCTGTATGAGTCTTCTGGTGTGTCACAGGATTGGAAGATTGGGTGAAAGCTGCTTGACATACCTGACACCTTAATGGTTTCTCCCCTGTGTGAATTCTCTGCCGTACCAGTGGGTGGGTAGATTTCACAAATGCTTTATCACAAACCTCACACTTGAAACGTTTTGGTTCCATGAAGGTGACCTTGCACACACAGGTACACTCTTCAAGTTAGGTAAGTGTAGCACCCTCTTCACACATCTGATATTTGAACCGCGTCTCACCTGTAGGAATTAGTGATTCATGAGGCTTGATGAATGATTGAAGCTCTCACCACACTTGGAGCCGCTCACACTTTTCCCAGCCTCACCCAGACCGCTCACCCACAGCCGAACCTTCAGAAAGGTCGGTTCTGATGGAAGGCTCCACACCAGTGACCAGTTTCAGATCTGATGATATGTCAAAGCTGTCCTGACCTGACCAACTTCAAGATGATGGTTTCACTGCACCACCTTCTCTGCATTCAGCAATGCTGTGAAGGGTCTGGATATCTTCCCATAGTTGTGCGAATGTCCTTTGGGTGATGATGAAGATCTTTCTGCATCCACTATCCTCACTGTATTCTCTGGTGTAGTTTGGTATCATTCTTCTGTAAAACATGAAAAGGAAATAAGATTTTTTTCCAACTCCCTCTGTTCCTTTACTGAAGAGGAGTTGGAGACTGGTCCACAGTTAGTGCCCATCTGCTATTTGAGGGGGGGGGTAGAATATCATACACGTCCTTTGTTTTTCTTCACTTGACTGTCACACACTCTCTGTTTCCAGTAGGGACACAGAATACAGAGCAGTAGCAGACAATGTGGCTACTTTCTTTCCTCTGCCCATACCTCCATCTTCCCATGCACTGTGAGAGCCATGGAAAAGACTGTTGGCCAGAGTGTAAAATGGGCCATCAATTCACTATGAACTCAAGCTGTGTTGGTGATGAAAAGTTTTAGTATGAGAGTACGTGTTTAATATCGAGAATACTGAACAGAATTACATTTTTTTTCTCTTTTTTGATAATTGTTTGAGGAAAACACACTGAGCAGGAATTTCTTGAAGAAAAATATTGCTTCAATGTAGCTGATTGAGGGTTCAGGTTTATCCTGGGAAATTAGATACACTGCACTCACTCATTCTGCATATCCCAAATTTAGCTCTCAGCACAGCACTTGGCAAAACTATTAAATCCAAGCCCATGCTTTTGGGAAATGCTGAGGTCCTCAGGCAAAATATTTTGAAAAGGCATTGAAAGCAATTTCAATAAATGGGACTGCAGGTATAGCAAATGAATTGCTACAGAGCTGTACTGACAATCCAAGGATTGAGAATTCAAATCCAATCAAGGATGTCATATACATAGAATTACAGTGAGAAACGGGCTATTCAACCCAATTGGTTCGTGCTGGTATTTATGCTTCACACCAGCTTCCTCTCACCCCTCTTCACCTCACCCTATCAACAAATCCCTCTGTTTCTTTCTCCCTCATGAACTTATCTCGTTTCCTCTTAAAGGCATCCCTGCTCTTCCCTTGAATCACTCCATGTTGTGGCGGAGAATTTCATTAATTCTGGAATTTGTAATACACATGAATTTGAAAAATCTAAATATTGTCCGTCAGAGAAGAGAACCTGCTGCAACTATCTGGTCTCATTTAAATGTTACTCCAGTCCCACACAACATGGTTAACACTTAAGTACTCTCTGAAGTGGCCAAAAAAAAAGTCCAAAATAAAGATGAAAATCAGAGAAATGTGGGCAATTCTGGCATTGTGTCTGAATAAAATATATTGCTCCTCGAGGGTGAGCTGTATACATTTACTGGAATGAAACCAGGGTTGCAAGTATTATGAGGAGACACTAAGAAACCTGTGTCTATTCCCGGACTCAGAAGATAAAAAGATGGCCTGATCAATGTTTATGTGATGTCAAAAGACAGAGGAAGGATGAACACAAAGAAAATATTTTCATTGGTTGGGGATTCTAGGACCAGAAAGACTGTCTAAAAATTTATGGCAGATCTTTCTGGCAAAAACAGTTTGAGGTACAAAGGGCAGATTTGAATTCACGTCCACAAACAACATATGGTAGTCAATCCAGGATTGATATTAAATGTGAGATTGATAGATTTTTGATCACCAACTGGTTGAAGGGAAGTTGGGAAAGGCCAGGAGTTCATAAATCTCCCTGAACTGTGGGACTCGGTCAAGACACTGTCTCCCAGTCCTATGTAAGTGCCCCAGAGAGCAAACGGATCCTCAAAGCTACACTTTGGATAGGGCCTCATTTCCTCAGAGGAAGTGCATCGATTACAGACTAAAGGAGAATAACCAGCACCCAACGCAGAAATAACTCAAAAGGAAATCAGTAGAAATCCTCAGACACTCTGCACCTCCCAGATAATTACAGATCACCTTCTCATTTTCAAGGATGAGCCATCAACACAAGTCTGGAAATCAGAAGGGAAATGCTTCCAACAAACACACTCAATATCCAACACACAGCTCCAGTCAAACAGTTCAGCACAAAGCACCGAGTAAACAGCTCTCTCAGCTGGATCTTCTCACACAGCATAAGGAACATTTCCACCCCTGATTGCCCACAGGATAGTCAGACTGCCTGAAGATTGGTGTGGATATTATGGGATACAATTTGTATAAAAGCTGTTCCTTCACTCACCATCTCCTCACTTGGTTTTCAGTTCCCTTTCGGAAGTGAACCAGCTCTGGAAGAGGAAGAGGAGAGAATGGGCAGAGTGGGTGGGCTCTCTGATTGACGTCTCTCAGAGTCAATCCAAATATTTCTGCAGCAACATGAGTTTCCTGAAGCTTGGGAAACTGACGGAAACTGACAGGTGGAGATTTAAACTTGTCAGTGTCCCATATGAATAAAACCTCACTTATTGCAGCTGCTGTCTCAGGTCCCCTGGTAAATGACAGAGATTTCTCGTGTGGGAATAGCATTCTTCATCCTTGGAGGCTTTCAAACTGACAACATCAGTGTGGGATGTGTATCCTCGGATGTTTTTGAGAGCAGATCAGAAGATGAAAACCCACAGCATCCAAGGCAGTGATGATGTGCAGTGCACAGGAGACCAAAACATGAGAACAATTTTGAAGTCATATGGGACTCAAAATGTTAACTCTATTTCTCTCTCCCCACAGATGCTGGCAGACCTGCTGAGTTTCTCCAGCATTTGCTGACTCGTGGAAAATTAGAACCTAAGAAATAGGAACAGAGAAGGCTATTCAGCCTTTGAAGCCCCTCCTGCCACTCGATAAAATCATGTGTCAATCATAATTCTGTCAGATCATGGTGGATGTACCCCAAGCAACAGTTTCACTTTCATGCCAGCTCCTCATAGCCCTCAATTCTTCATTATTTTAAACATCTATTTCCTTGAAAAATACTTTCGGTGATCTAATCTCCACAACTCTCTGGGTAGAGAATTGCAGACATTCATTACTCTCTTGGGAGAAGGAATTCCTTCACCATTCAATTTTAAATGAGTGCCCCCTTACTGTATAACTATGTCGCCTAGCTCCAGCTACCCCTCCAGTGGAAACCTCTTCTCAGCATCAACCCTGCCAAGCCCTCTCAGAATCTTGTATATTTCAACAACATCACCTCATTTTTCTACATTCTAATGAACTGTGGCCTAACTTTTTTTGCCGTTCTCAATCCTGGAGATCAGCCTAGTGAATCTCTTTTGAACTTTCTCCAAGGTCAATGTACCTTTTCTGAAATATGGGGGCTGAATCTGGACACAGTGCTCCAGGTGCAGCCTCATCAACACCCCTAAAGAGTAGGAACAAGTGCTCCCTATTTTTAAACATCAATCTCCTTGCAATATAGGCCAAATCTTCATTTGCCTTTTTAAATTACTTATTGTGTCTACGTGCTAACTTTTTGTGTTTCATGCACAGGAACACCCAGATCCCCCCGTGTTGCATTTTTAGGCCTCTCTCTCTATTTAAATAATTATCTGACTTTCGATTCTTTCTACCAAAGTCCACAATCTCACATTCTTCTTCACTAAATTAATCTGCCAAAATTTTGCCCATTCACTCTCAACCTACTTCTATTCCCTTGCAGATTCCCTATGTAATCACAACATACCCTCCCAACTATTTTTGTATCTTACACTCGGCCCTCTTCTCCAAGTTATCAACATAAATAGTAAATAAATGGAACCCTAGGTGTGGCACTTCATGAGTTAAGTCTTTTCAACCTGAAAAAGACTCATTAATCCTGACTCTGGCTTTTGTGTGTTACCCCAAGACCAGCAGCTCTTACCTTCTGCAATCAACTTTTATCTGGTACTTTATTGAATGCCTTCTCAAAATCCAAATGCACCACATCTTCTGGTTCCCCTTTACCCACACTGCTTTGTTATATCCTCAAACTACACTAACAAATTTGTCAAAAATGTAGTCCCTTTCAAAAAAACATGTTGACTCTGATTGCATCAAGCTTCCTAAATGTCTTATTTCTTCCTTAATAATGGATTCAAGCATGTTTCCAAAAACAGAGGTTAGTCTAACAGTCCTATCATTCCCTGCATCTGTCTCCCTCTCTTCTTGAACACGACAACGCATTGACGGTTTTCCAATCCGATGGAAATTTCCCGGAATCCAGTGAATTCCAAACAATTTTTGACTAATGCCTTCACTATCTCTGCTTCCTTTAAAACATTTAGATGCAGGTCCTGAGATCCTGGCAATTTGTCTGCCTTCAGTCCCATTGGTTTGTCAAATCCTTTGTGATAGAGACTGTTGTATGGCCTTTCCTCTGATTATCACCTGCATATCTGACATCTTTGGGATGATTATAGTATCTTCTACTGAGAGAAGACTGATGCAAAATATTGGTTTAAATTATCTGCTGTTTCCCAGTTACCTATTGTCAATTCTCCAGTCACATCCTCCACGAATCGCATACTCATTTCAGCTATTCTCTCTATTTTTACATACCTGTCGATGCTCTTGCTGCTTATTTTTATATTTCTTTGCAATATATTTTCAGAAACAATCTTCTCCCTTTTTATTAACTTTTTAGACATCTGCGGCTTGCTCTAAAATAACTCCCAATTCTTTAGCCTAACACTGGTTTTTGCCGCTGTGTATGCCGTTTTGATTCGATACCCTCTTTTTCTCCATTTGTTAACTAAGACTAGTTCATTCTTCTCGTCAAATCCTTCTTTTTGACCTGAATAAATTTGTGCTGATTGTTATAATTTATCTGTTTAAATGCCTGTCACAGTTCATCAGCAGACCTCCGTGTATTTCTCCCACCCATTCTAGACAAGTCTTTCTTCATAACTCTGTAATTGTCCTTATTTGAGGACGCTGGTTTGAGACCAAAGTTTCGCTCCCTCAAACTGAACTTGCAATTTTCCACACTTTGACTGCTATTTCCTCAAAGGTCCTTAATCCTACCTTATTATTCATTCCTAGATCTAATACAGTCTTTTCCTGGATGTATGCAACGTAGGGAACAATCTCTGATCCACTGTAGAAATTCAATTTCCATGTTACCCTTACATTTACCAGCGTTTTCAAATAATCTCCTGTTACAAATACTGTGTCCATTCAGATAAATAGACTTTTTAAGCTTTGATTCTAATTTCTAGTGTACTCTTCTGCTTATATTTTCTGTCCCTTTCTGTCATACTTTGAATATCATTTTCCTGTTCACTACACTGCATCTCTACTCTTGCATTTTGTTTTTAAACTTCCCTTTATTTGAACCCTTCCTCCCATGCTTTAGTTTTAAGCCGTGGCTATATCCCTAGTTGTACAATCTTCCAGGATACTGGTCTTAGCATTATTCAAACGGAGGCCATCCCAACAGAAAAACCCACCTTTCCCCAGTACTGGTACCAGTGGAACACAGGAATAGGCGTCAGCGCTACAAGCCTGTTCCACCATTCAGTGAGATCATGGCTGATCTGTGGCCTATCTCCATATGCCTGCCTTTGGCCAATATTCCTTAATGCATTTGTTTAACAAAACAAAACCTATGTCAGACTTAATAACTGAAGTGCTCCATCAATTTAAACTTATTTCTTGCACCCGAACTTTGACATATACACTCTCTTCTCTAATCTTATTTATCTTATGCCAATTTGCAAATGACTCAGGTAGTAACCAGAGAGATCATTATCTTTGTCTTTCTGCTGTTTAGTTTAACCCTGAGTTGCTCGAATTTCCCTCAACAGAACGTCTTCCCTAGTCCTACATATGTTTTTGGCTTCTACGTGGACCACGATTAAATCTTTCCCCTCTGACCAAAGCCCAGAAGGGATGTACTGATCCTTGTCATCAGGTTAGCAACACAGTCTTTGGAACACTTTCTCTTTGCTGCAGAGGATAATATTTATTCCTCAAACTATTTCCTACTTGCACTACACTTCTCTTTTATTCTCCCACTTGAATGGCACTCTGTACCATGGTACTTTGGTCAGCTCGCTCATCCTCCCTGCAGTTTGTGCCCTCATCTATACTGGGGGCAAGAACCTCATACCTGCTGGACAAGGCATTGCCTGAGGCTCTTCCAAGGCAAAATTGTGGATCCCAATACCTGTATGAATCACAGTCACAGCCTGCAGTCCCTGATCAAGCACCAGATTTTTTTTGTAATTGATCTAAAAGGTGTGAATGTCTCCTGATACACAGTGTACAAGTAACTTACTCCCTTCCTAATATGTCGCAGTGCCTGCAGCTCTGACTCCAGCTCACCAACTCCCAGCTGAAGTTCCTCAAGCAGCCAAAACCTGCTACAGGTGTGGTCACTGTGGTTTGTACCGACATCCACTAGCTCCCACGTACTACAGCTGCAAGCCTTCATCTCCCCAGCCAACTCTAATCAAATTATTCATTCATTTTAATGTTAAATGCTCAAAAAGCAAATTTAACCCTTAGTAAGAGATACAGAAGAATTACCAACCTGTTTTCTTGTGACAACACTTTTTGGCTTAGACTGGCAGAAACAGGTTCCAGGTGTTCTCTGCATCTGTTTCTGTCTGCCACTGCTGCCCTAGTCCACTTCACAGTGACTCTGACTTTTTGCACATTCTTTGAAGTTCATTCCTTTAACTTCACAGTGATGCTGACTTGCTGCATACTCCTCCTAGTCTGAAAGGGAAAGGAGGGAAATGGCAGAGGTTGTATGCAGAAAGCAGTGACTTAAAATAATTGGTGGAAGGATTAGAGCGGAGTAACTTTTTTCACTAATTGTAATTCACTGTCTGAAAGGGTGGCAGAGGCAGAAACCTTCATCATATTTAAAAACACTCAGCTTTGAATTTGAAAGAATAACTTCTTCACATTCAAATGCGAATAAAGTAACTTCTCCACATTGACAATGTCCCATAAAACATAACAGAGAAGGTACAGCATTGATTAGACACAAGTCAAGATCCAGCTAAACTGTCACTGGAGTGTTGGATTAGCACATGGAACAGTCAAACACAAAACCCAAATCATGGTCAATACTCACCTACCTCAGTCACTCAGATACTCTTGTATCACCAACCTTAATGTGGTGTGATTGGGAGCAGGACATGTGCTTTGAGGTAGTGGTAGGACCATAAGACATAGGAGCAGAAGTAGTCCACTCATTGAAACTGCTTCGCCATTCAATGAGATAATGGCTGATCTGATAATCCTCAACTCCTCTTTCTTGCCTTTTACCCATGTCCCTTGACTCTCTTACTGATTAGAAATCTGTCTATTACAGCCTTAAATATTCTTAATGACCCAGTCTCAACAGCCCTCGATGTTAAAGAATTCCACAGATTCACTACCCTTCTTCAGCTCTGTCTTGAATGGGTGACCCATTATTTCTGAGATTATATCCTCATCTCCTAAACTCTCCCACAAGGGGAAACAACCTTTCCGCATCTATCATGTTCAGCCCTAGAAGAATCTTGTACTATGTTTCAATTAGACCCTGTTGAACCCTCTCGGAATCTGCATGTTTCAATAGATAATGTCACTGCAGATGATAGCCAGAACCCAAGGCTGATATTCAAATTCCACTATATCAGATGATAAAATATGAATTAAATAAACATCTGGATTGAAAGGCTAGCCTAACGGCAACTGCTGTCAATTGTCATGAAAAGCCCACCTCATTCATGACTGTCTTTTATAGAAGGAAATCTATCATCCTCACCTGGTCTTGTCCATGCTGTTGATCCATAGCAATGCTGTTAACCTATCCTCTGGAATAATTATGGATGGGAAATGATGCCCACAGCCAATTAATGAGCGAAAGGAAATAAGGAGATGGAGTCCACACCACATCCAGTGGTGGGAGGGTACACTGCAGCTCATAACTTTGAGGAATACCAGAGGTTTTCAAATTGAGAGTTCTGGAGTTATAGTCATACAGCTGAAAAACAGCTTCGGTACAACTCGTTCATGCCGACCAAGTTTCCAAAACTAAACGAGTTCAACTTGCCTGTGTTTGGCCCATATCCCTCTAAACCTTTTCTATTAATGTAACTGTCCAAAAGTCTTTTAAATGTTGCAACTTTACCTGCATATCCCACTTCCCCTGGCAGTTCATTTGACATACAAACCATCGTCTGCGTGTAAAAGTCGTTCTGGTTGTACTTGAGCCAGAGTGATTTAGGATGTTTGGGTTTTTGTTTGATATGGGGATCCTCTATCAGTACCTCATCTGTAGATTGTTCCTCACTCCTGGAGTTTACCTACTCTTCTCCATCAGTTTCCCTTCTCCTGACATAATGGACTTCACCACCTTGCACAGCCTCAGGAATCCAGACACAAAGACAGCACTGACACCTGCAGCTCTAACTTTACAACTTTAAATCAAATCAAACCTTAAGGTTGTTACAGAGATAGTAGGAACTGCCGATGCTGGAGAATCTGAGATAACACAGTGTAGAGCTGGATGAACACAGCAGGCCAAGCAGCATCAGAGGAGCAGGAAAGCTGACGTTTCGGGTCGAGACCCTTCTTCAGAAAAATGAAGAAGGGTTTCGACCAGCTCTACACCGTGTTAAACCTTAAGGTTGCCTACTTACGGGGGGAAAAGCATTCTGTGCCTGGCTTTGGAAATTAACCCCAGAGAAATCAACTCTGATACAATGAAAGTACTATACATTATTGTGCAGCCTGCTTTCGTTAACACTCTTGTCTCTTAGTCAGAAGGCTCTGGGTTCCAGTCTCACTCTGTTCACTTTAGAAGTGATGTTGATACTCCCATGCCATATTGAGGGATTGCTGAACTGTCATGATTTTTTAGATGAGTTAAACCAAAGCCCAATCTGCTTTCTAGTTGAACATGAAATATGCCATGACACTACACTATAGAAGAGCAGGGGAGTTATTGAGTCAGTGGATTTTCACAGCAAGGAAAGAGGCCTTTTGGCCCATCTTGTCTGTGACAGATATCAAAAATTCCATCTGTTCTCATTCCATTTTCCAGCACCTGGCCCATAACTTTTTATGCCATGGCATTTCAAGTGTTCATCTAAGTATGACCTATCCTGAAATACATCAAACAAATAATGTCACAAAACACATTATCTGGTCACTATCACATTAATATTTATGGGAGCTTGCTATGTCCAAACTGAAAGTCACATTCCAGACAGCAGATTGCAGAAGGAATTACATTTCAAAAATACTTAATTTCATTCTCCTCAAAGTGCTTTTGGATGCCTTGCACTTGTGAATGTTGATATAAAAATACAAATCTTTTTCCTTAGAGAAATATTATGGTTCCTTGAACTGGAAGTTATAAACTGACTGATAGAGAAGAATCCAGCCATTTTGATATTTACCAATATATTGGGGTTCCGTCCTTGGTTCGAACTATTCACAATCTATATGAATTACATGAATGCAGGGACAGAAAGTAAGATAGCCAAATTTTCAGATGACAATAGAATAGGTGGGACACTTAAGTTTGCAATGAAGTTTGCAATGAAGAGATTAGAGAGATAGGGAGGGATGAGGCCATGGAGGGATTTGAATACAAGCTCAAAATCCTCACTAAAACTAACACTGAGCTTTTCTAGGAAGACTGGGTTATTCCTCGAGTTTTATGCCTGGTACAGTGTTAGAACTGTGTCTAAACAATGGAACTTTCCTGAATGAATTAAAGGTCCATCAGCAGTACTGATTGAAGACAATCCCTTAAGATGTCCATTCCAGCTGACACCAGGGACTTTACCACCTTTCTTAAATGTCTTAAATTTAAATTTCCAGAATCTCTACTTCAACATAAATGAAAGGTGGAATATCTGACTGACCAGATGTGGGTTGATGGGAGTTTTATTTTGGCCACATTCAAGGACATACAGAGTTCGCTGTGTGAGGCTTGAAGAGACCGACAGTGGATGCAAATCTGTTGCCATGTGAACAGCAACACTGTAGCTATCTTCACACTGTAGGTCATGTGTATCTATGGTGGTTAGTTTAGTTTTGGCACAGGGGCAACTGATGTCAATGAGTTTCCCATCAAGATGGTATTTAATACTGAACCCAGAGAGCAGTTGATCTTTGAGGAGTGAATAGTCACTATCAGGTAGACTGTGAATAGAATGGGGACTATCACACAGCTTTGCTTGACACCAGTCTGGATTTTGAACATTTCTGTTTCAGATCTCCCACTCATGATAGTTACAGTCATATCTGCATGAAGTAATTGCAGAGTTGGGATCATAATCCCCAGAACCTCGCAACTTACTGAGTCAAATCATTTGGATGTATTGATGATGGTAATGAAGAGTCCTTGGTGTTGTTCTCAAACTGAAGGCTATAAAGCTGGGGGACTTTTCCTCATTTCAAGACTGTATGAACCCATCCTATGCAGATGGGAGGAAAAGGAACTTCCTCTGACGTCCTGATTTCAGGAACGTGACAATTGTACCAATCTTCAAGAAGGAAGATGAGTCATGCAGTATTGAAGTTTTCACTCTTGTCCACAACACAGAAAATCCTAACACACATTCTTCTGAATCACCTGTGGCTGAGAAGGTCCTCACAGAGACACAGTGGTATCTGTGCTCAAACAGGAGCTTCTATATCTATTGATGTCCTCATTTGGTGATGATGTTTCATGATCAGGTCAAAGGTTAAATTGCCTTGAAATGATTGGCCTGTTGGTGGGAGAGGTTTGAGATGGACCCTGCTGAGACAGACAGTGCTTTGGAACGACAACGCCCCTGTGTGAGCACTGGACGGTAAACAACACAGACAGCTCTCAGTGTGACAGAAGCAGGTGACACAGTTCTAAGTCCACGTGGATATGCCGGTGTCCTGTGAGACAGGTGAAATATATGAAACAATCCCGGCGCTGGAAGGGTTTGCCTCCTCTATGGGTCTATTGATATTCCACAATGTTAGACAACTATATGATGGCTTCATTACAGAACTATAGGATTTCTCCCCTTTGTGGGTATGTTATTCAATTGGGAGATACACTGACTATGTCAAAGCCTTATCACACACCTCATTACTGATTAGTTTCACTCCTGTATGAATGCATTGGTAAATACAGAGGTTCAGTGAGTTTGAGAATGATTTGTCTCTCATATTACACATGTGAAGGGATTTTCACCTTTGTGGATCCATTGATGCTTCAGGAGATTGAAGACTGGATGAAAACTTTGCCAGAGCAACAAAAAAGTTGCCCTCTTGCTGAATTCTCTGAAAGCCCGGGATTTTGAAAGACATCACGGTACCTTAATCACAAACCTCACTGTCAAAGGGTTACTCCCCTATTTCGAACCTCTGGTGCAGCAGGAATTTTGATGACCTAGAGAATGATTTGTCACACACCTTGTATATTGATGGTTTCTCCCCCATGTGACAGCATTGATGTGTGCAGAGGGTAGATGGATCTGAGAATGATTTAACACAGACCTTGCACGTGAATGGTTTCTCCCCAGTGTGAGTGTGTTGGTGTAGGCGGAGAGTTGATGATCCGAGAAGAGCTTATCACACACCATACAGCGGAAAGGCTTTTCTCAAGTGTGAGGGCGATGGTGCACACGGAGTGTCGATGAGTCTGAGAATGATTTGTCACACACCTCGCACATGAAGGATTTCTCTCCTGTGTGAATACGTCGGTGTTTGCGGTGATTCGATAATTCAGAGAATGATTTGTAGCACATCTCACAAGTGAATGGTTTTTCTCCTGTGTGAATGTGTTGGTACTTCAGGAGATCAGAGGAGTTAGTGAAAGCTCTCTGACAAAATCCACATCTGAAAGGTTTCTCTCCTGTATGAATCCATTGTGTATGCAGAGAATGATTTGTTACACAGTTCACATGTGAATTGCCTCTCCCGTGTGAATGCGTTAGTATGTACGGAAGTTTGATGAGTCCGAGAATGATTGGTCACACACCTCACACCTAAATGGTTTCTCCTGTGTGAATGCATTGGTGTTTGCGCTGGGTTGATGAGTTCGAGAATGATTTATCACACACTTCACATGTGAACGGTTTCTCCCAGAGTGAATACGTTGGTGTGCATGGAGGTTTGTTAACTTTGAAAATGGTTTATTGCATGCTTCACATGTGAATGGTTTCTCCCCCAAGCGAGTGCATTGGTGTTTGTGGAGTTTCAATGAGTCAGAGAATGATTTGTCACACACCTCTCATGTGAATGGTTTCTCCCCTGTGTGAATGCATTGGTGCTTCAGGAGATCAAAGGAATTGTTGAAAGCCTTCTCACAAACCTTGCGCATGAATGATTTCTCCCCTGTGTGGATGCGATGGTGCGCAAGGAGGGTAGATGAATTTGAGACTGCTTTGTTGCACACCTTACATGTGGGTAGCTTCTCACTAGATTGAATATGTTGGTCAGTTATGAGCATCAATAACCAGGCAAAGTCTTGGTTTTGCACCTCACATGAGCACAGTATCTTTTCCGTGAAGCTTCCAGTGTGTTAACAATCATACAATAGATGCAATTTGTGTTGGGAGATCTTATGAGCCTGTGGAGCCCTCCTTATACTTGAATAGCCTCTCCCCTGTAGAAATGAATCATGATTGAATCATGCTTGATTGAAGCTCTCACCCAGCATGGAGGCTACTCAACACTTCTTCCCAGCGTCACCCTGACTAATCACTGACAGCTGAATGTTCAGAAATCTTAGTTTTGATGGAAGGCTCCACACCACTGACCAGTTCCAGGTCTGATGATGTATCAAAGCTCATCTGACTCAAGTGATTTCCGGATGATGGTTTCACTGCCCAACCTTCTCTGTGTTGAGCAATGCTGTGAAGGGACTGGATATCTTCCCACAGTTGTGTAGTTGCTCCGTGGGTGATGGTCAGCATCTATCTGCAGTGTCTATCCGCAATGTATTCTCTGGTGTAGTACAGTGCAATTTTTCTGTAAAATAGGAAGAGGAAACATGATTTTCTCCAATTCTCTCATCTTTGCTGAAGGAGCTCACTCCTCAGTTAGAGACTCTTCCACACTGACTGCCAGTCTGCTATTTCCCTGTGTGGAGGATCAGATGCAATATCTTTCTTTTTCCTCACTTGACTGTCACATGCCCTCTGTTTTCAGCAGGGCAACTGGATAATGACCAGGAGCAGACAATGTGACTACTTTCTTTTCTCCAACCAGATCCCCACCTTCCCAGGCACTGTTAGGCCAATGGAAAAGGCAGTGGAGTGAGTGGGAAACAGACTGTCGATTCACTCTGAGCTTGTGCCAAGCTGGTGATGGCCAATTTACTCTGAGATCGTGTGTTTAATATTAAAAAAAGGAGAAATGTTATTTTATTAAACATTTATGGTTTCCCTTGCCTTCCAAAATTATTTGAGGAAAATACATTAGGAAGGAAGTGCTCAAAGCTGAGGAAAATATTGTTTCAGTGTAGCTGCTTGAAACTTTCTGGTTTATCGTGGGAATTTCGGTACACTGTAGTTGCTCAGTCTGCACATCCCAAATTCAGCTATCAGCCACAGCACTGGAGAGAACTATCAAATCCAAGCCCAGACTTTGTGAAAGGCTGATGCCTTGAGGTAAAATCTTTAAAGAAGACATTTTTAATAAATGTGTTGACAGGTATGACAGCCAAATTGCTACAGTACTGGATTAACAATCCCAAGATTGTGAGCTCAAATCCAACTTCTTAAAATTACTTTTCTTAAAAAAAGTATTTCATCAGATGTGAAGCTTTTTTAAATTTGATTTTGTGATGTGGGTGTTCCTTGCAAGTCCAGCATTTATTACCCATCCTAACTGCCCTTAAACTGAGTGGTATCATAGGTCATTTCAGAAGCCTGTTGTTGAATTATGGTATAGTTTCCAGACCAGACAGGCACTGTACCTTTATGGCAGTTACATGACAACATGTCATGTGACATTCCAGTACAAAAGGTACCTTCTTGCCTTCAGTCACTTTCTGTCTGTAATGGAGTCAATGTAGAGAGCTAGTCAGTTATTTGTATGCAATGTATTATCACACTTGTAAGCACGGAATCCAGAATAATTGTGCAAGTACACATCTAAATACTTCTTAAATGTTATAATAAAACCAAGAACTGTAGGTGCTGAAGATCTGAAACAAAAACAAAAACAGTTCTGATGAAGAGTCACCAGATTTGAAATGTTAGCTCTGTTTTCTCCCCACAAATACTGCCAGACTTGCTCAGTTTCTCCAGTAATTTCTATTTACCCTTCTTAATGTTATGAGGGTTTCCGCCTCGACCTCCATTATGGGCAGCAAGTTCCAAATTCCAACCATCCTCTGAGTGAAAAAATTTTCCTTACATTCCCTCTAAACTTTCTGCCCCTTACCTTAAACCTATGCCCCAAGCACTGATCCCTCCAACAAGGGAATACGTTTCTTCCTGTCTCCCCTATATATGCCCCTCATCGTATTACACATCTGAATCATGTCCCCGTTCAGTTGACTCTGCTCTAAGGAAAATAACTCAGTCTGTCAAAACTCTCTTCATGACTAAAACTTTCCTGTTCAGGCAAATGGAACTGGTAAATCTCCTCTGCACCCTCTCCAGTGCTATCACATCCTTCCTATAATGTGGATCCCAGAACTACGCACTGTTATAAAGTGGAGGTTGACCCCACACTGAGAACTAAAACCGAAACACCCAAAGAGGAGCACCTCGCCTATAATCTATAAAAGGAGTGTGAAAAGTGCTGTAACCTGCCTTTCAGCAACTTCTATTGGTTAAATAAAATAAACTCCTGACACTCACTTTACAATCAACAAGTAACAATTTATCTATCTTAAAGTCTTACAGTGAACAAATTAACTAAACTATTAACAAACCAAATAAATCCCTTCTAACTCCTTACTATTCCTGAATAAAACAAGATTCTAATGGTATGCTGTTCCAAGAAATACAAATACCACTTATATAAAATATAAACAGAACTTATTCTCTTGAAATTACAGTCAGGTTATGTGGTTTTCGGAATGCTCTGTGTCTTCTTTGAGAGTAACTGGCAAAGTGTGGCTGTTGGTTTGTGTGAAAGATGGAAGACCCCATACCCACAATGAGCAGGACAAATGTGATATACAGTTATACCATGCAGCAACTGTGAGAAACACTACATAGGACAGACGGGCAGGAAACTCAATTCTTCTGTCAGGAATATTAACTAGTGCTATGGGTACCTTTGTTATCTAGGTGGTGCTTTCTCTAAAACTTAGACAAGACTGTGAGAACCAGCGACTGTCTCTTGAGAACAGAGGGCTGTTAGCTCTGGCGGATGGCAGTTAGCTCTCTGGTATTTGTCCAACTGCCCCTTTTTATACCCTTGATGACATATCACTATTTCTTACAATAGGATTGGTTCTATGTTGTCAAAACCATCATATTTAAGTTGTTAAAAACCAAAAGAACTGCAGATGCTGTAAATCATATTTAAGTTGTTGGTTGGTTCGCCGAGCTGACTGGTTTTCTTGCAAACGGTTCTTTTCCCTTCGATGTGACATCATCAGTGCTGTATAGCCTCCGTTGAAGCACTATTGTTCTGTCCCACTCGGAATTTATATGGTCCTGTCTGTCATGGTGGCAGTCTTATTTCCGGTTTTGTACCGTAGTGGTATGTAGACAGGGTCTATTTCAACATGTTTGTCAATTGCATCGATGGTTGAAAACCAGGCCTCCAGGAATTCTCGTGCTTGTCTTTGTCTCACTTGTCCAAGTACTGTAACTTTGTCCCAGTCAAATTGATGTCCTTCTATATTGGAGTGTATAGAAACGAGGGAGAATTGGTCATGCCTTTTTGCTGCAAGTTGGTGTTCATGTATCCTGGTTGCGAGTTTCCTGCCCGTCTGTCCTATGTAGTGTTTCTCACAGTTGCTGCATGGTATTTTATATATCACATTTGTCCTGCTCATTGTGGGTATGAGGTCTTTCATCCTTCACACAAACCAACAGCCACACTTCGCCATTTACTCTCAAAGACCCAACAACAGTGAAACAACAGCAATATATTTCCAAGTCAAGAAGGTTAGTGGCTTGGAGGGGAACTTTCAGGTGCTGATGTTCCCATGTATCTGCTTCCCTTGTCCTAGGTGGAAGAGTTTGGGGGTTTAGAAGGTCCTTTGTAAGGATTTTTGGCAAATTTCTGCAGTGTATCTTGTAGATAGTACACACGGCTGCTACTGAGTGATTGTGGTGGAGGGAGTGGATGTTTGTGGATGTAGTACCAGTCAAGCAGCTGCTTTGTTTTGCATGGTGTCAAGCTTCAGGCACTGATCCAGGCAAGTGGAGAATATTCCATCACGCTCTTTACTTGTGCTATGTAGGTGATGGACAGGCTTTAGGGAGTCAGGAGGTAAATTACTGGCTGTAATAATCCAAATCTCTGACCTGCTCTTGTAGCAACAGTATTGACATGGTGAGTCCAGTTGAGCTTCTTGTGACTGTTCATCTCCAAGATGATGATAGTGAGGGATTTAGTGATGGTAACACCATTGAATATCAAGGGGCAGTGGTTCGATTGTCTCTTATTGAAGATGGTCATTGCCTGGCATTTGTGTTGCGCAAATGTTATTTGCCACTTTTCAGCCCAAGCTTGAATGTTGAACAGGTCTTGTTGCATTTGAACATGGACTGCTTCAATATCTCAGGAGTCGCAAACGGTGCTGAACATTGTGCAGTCATCGGCGAACATCCCCACTTCTGACCTTACGATGGAGAACAGGTGATTGATGAAGCTGCTGAAGATGGTAGGGCCTAAGGCATGGCCCTGAGGAAACTGAATTTCAGATATTTGACTCAAGAAGAACCTATGATATACATTATGCCACCAAACATGCAAAACATAGCTAACATTTAAGGCATAAACAGTTAAGAATCAACCTCATTACTGTGGATATTGAGTCACGCGTGGGCCAGATCAGGTTGAGATGGCAGATTTTCTTCCCTAAATGACATTACGGAAACAGACGGGTTTTCACGACAATCGTAGTTGTTGTCAAGGTCACCATGACTGAGGTTAGCTATCAATTACAGATTTTATTAACTACACTGAATTCCATGACCTGCCACAGTGATACTTGAATCACTAAAGAATGAGTTCAATGATATTGCTCCTGTGTTCCCTGTCCCCTGACACAGAATTACAGTGAGAAACAGACCTTTGGGTCCAGTTGGTTCAGGTTGGTGTTCATGCTTCACACAAGCCTCCTCTTACCCTCTTTATCTCACTCTATCAGCAGATCCTTCTGTTCCTTTCCCCTTCATGTACTTATCTAGTTTCCCCTGAAAGGCATCTCCACTCTTCACCTCAACTACTCCATGTTCTGAAACTTAACTTCCAAAAACATGGAATTTACTGAAATTGAAAAGTGGAATCGTAATAAAACCACTTAAACTTTAAAAAATTAAATAATGTGCTTCAGGGAAGAGAGAAGAAATCAAGTCCTGTGCTTTCTCTCCACAGATGCTGCCAGCCCTGCTGAGTTTCTCTAGCAATTTCTGTTTTTGATCAAGAACAAAACAGTTCCCCAGATCAAAGACATTTGATTTAATTGCTCCTCCTCCAACATGGGTACACCATCCAGCAATTTTACATCACAAGAATGTTTCTTCATACTGGATATTCAGCCCTAATCATTTATGTGGATATAATGAGATACAATCCATATAAACATTGCTTTGTCAATCACTGGATATTCAGTGCTGAACTGAGACAGGATTTCACTGGTCTCTCCTGGAAATGAATCCTGTACCTCTTCCTGTGCATGGTGTACCTGTTCCTGACCAACTTCAGGAAATGACAGTGAAAGCCAGGGATGGTAATGGAGAACTTTTCGTAGAATCACACATCATCACAAAATATACCGGCACAAAATGAGTGAGGCAGAGCCCCACTGTCAGGGAAGCCATCTGTCAATTGACGTCTCAAACGAAGTACTTTCTGCTCTCTCTGAGGTCAGGGTAAAAAAAACATGGCACTGTTCTGAAGAAAAATAGGGGGTAATCTGTGATGCCAATACTAATCCCACAATCGACACCAATAGAAAATAGATTATGTAATCATCATCACGTTACTGTCTTTGGGAACTTGCTGTGCACACACTTCCTACATTATAACAGTGATCACATTACAAAAGTACGTAATTAGCTGTAAAGCACTTTGGGATGTCTTGTGGTGGTAAACGACTCAACATAAATGCAAGTCTTTCTTTTTGATCTTGTCTGTGGAGGTTACAGACAGAAGCTGATCGGGGATCTTGAAAAGATTTGACAACTCCTAGATCCGAAAACACGGATAGAGAACTGACCTTTCACAGTCCACAGGATAATAACCAGCTCCTAACACACAATAATCGAACATTCTTGACAATGCTACACAACTATCAAAGATGCCCACCACTCCATACCCCGTCCGCACTTGGGAAAATCAGATCACAATGCTGTGTTCCTCCTCCCAGCTTACAAGCAGAAATTGAAACATGAGGACCAAGTACAGAAAGTAGTACAGTGCTGGTTTGAGGCAGCGGAAGAGCTTCTACAGGACTGCTTAGAATCAGCAGCCAACCTAAATGAATATGCCATCACCATCACAGACTTCATTAGCAAGTGTGTGGAGGACTGTGTGCCAAAAATGTTAAACTGAATGTTCCCCAACCGGAAACCATTGACGAACTAGAAGATCCACTGCCTACTGAAGTCCAGCTGTGTGGCGTTCAAGTCGGACCTTATGAAGAAAACCAAATATGACCCTCATAAGGCCATTAAAGATGCCAAGAGGCAATGGCAGACTAAGCTAGAGACCCAAACTAACCACATGGACACCCGCCGTTTGTGGCAAGGCCTATATGATTTAACAGGCTGCAAGACAAAGCAGAACAGCGGACAAAAATACATCCCTCTCTGATGCACTCAATGCTTTTTACTCTCATTTCGAACAGAAGATCAGTGAAATGGTATCACCTGCCCCAATAGCCTCGTATGCACTTATTCCTTCAGTCACCACTGCAGACGTCAGATCGGCCTTCTTCAGAGTGAACTCTCAGAAAATGATTGGCCTAGATGGAGTCCCCAGCCATGCACTCATCTTGTTCATATCAGCGAGTGACAGCCTGAAGTCCCCACCTGCTTCAAGAAGACTACCATCATCCCGGTACTAAAGAGCCTCAATAACCTCAATAACAATCGCCCAGTGGCTCTGACATTCATAATTATGGGGAGGTGATGGCATAGTGGTATTATCGCTGGACTGTTAATCCAGAGACCCAGATAATGTTCTGGGAACCTGGATTCAAATCCCGCCACTGCAGATGGTGGAATTTGAATTCAATAAATATCTGGAATTAAGAATCTAATGATGACCGTGAATCTAATGTCGATTGTCAGAAAAACCCATCTAGTTTACTAATGTCCTTTAGGGAAGGAAACTGCCATCCTTATCTGGTCTGGCCTACATGTGACTCCAGACCCACAGCAATGTGGTTGACTCTGAACTGCCCTCTGGGCAATTAGGGATGGTCAACAAATGTTGCCTAGCCAGTGACGCCTTCATCTCATAAATGAATAAAGGAAGTACTTTGAAAGGTTAGTCGTGGCTCATATCAACTCAAGCCTCCTAGACTGCCTCGATCCCGATCCCTTGCAATTCACCTACAGTCATAGCAGATCCATGGCCATAAGTCATCTTCCTTGCCCTACACTCATCCCTGGAGCATCTGGATAACAAGGATACCTACGTCAGGCTCCTACTTACTGATGACAGCTCCGCTTTAGCACCATAATTCCAACCAAAATAATCTCCAAATTCTGATACCCAGGTCTCTGGTCTGCCTTCTATAAGTGGAATCTTGACTTCCTGACCCACAGACTGTAATCAGTGAGAATAGGCAACAACACCTCCTCCACAATAATCCTCAACACTGGTGCCCTGTAAGGCTGCACACTCAGCCTGTATTCCCTATACATTCATGACCGTGTGGCCAAATGCCATCCTAACTCCATCTACAAGTTCGCTGACAACACCATCGTTGTATGCCAGATCTCAAACAATTACAAGAGAGAATACAGGAAAGAGATAGAATGCCTGGTGGCATGGTGTAAAGATGACAATCTCTCTCTCTCAATGTTAGCAAAACAACTGATTTCAGGAAGCAAGGTGGAAGGCACACCCCTGTTTATATCAATGGAGCTGAGATGTAGATAGTCAACAGCATCAAGTTCTTAGCAGTGATGATGACCAATAATCTGCCTGGTCCACCCACGCTGATGTGATGATCAAGATAGCACAACAAAACCTCTACCTCTTCAGTAGGCTGAGGAAATTCAGCATTCCATAAGGACTGTTACTAATTTTTATAGAAGCACCATAGAAAGCTTTCAATATTGATGCATCACGGTTTGGTATGGCAACTGCTCTGCCCAAGACTGTAAGAAACTACAGAGTTATGAACACAGTTCAGTCCCTCATGCAAACTAATCTTCCATCACTGACTTCATCTATACTTCTCACTGCCTTGGGAAGGCAGCCAACGTAATCAAAGACCCCTTCTAACCTGTTCTGTCAGGCAGAAGATACAAAAGCTTAAACAATGTACCAACAGATTCAAGAACAGCTTCTTCCTCACTGTTATTAGACTTCTGAATGGACTTCTCAAATTTTAAACTTAATGTTGATATCACTCTTTGCGCACCTTCTCTACAGCTGTAACATTGTATTCCTTGCTCTGTTCTATTAGCCTCATGAACTTCATATGATATGATCTGTCCGTACTGCACACAAAACAAAACTTTTCACTTACCTACATGTGACAATAAAAAATCAAATAAAATCAATAGGAAATCTGTAAGAATCCTCAGACACTCTGCACCTCCTAGAAAATTACAGATCACCTTCTCATATTCAGGAATGAGACATTAACAAAACTCAGCCTGGAAATCAGAAGGAAAATGCTTCCAATAAACACACTCAATATCCAACACACAGCTCCAGTCAAACAGTTCAGCACAAAGCACCGAGTAAACAGCTCTCTCAGCTGGATCTTCTCACACAGCATAAGGGACATTTCCACCCCTGATTGCCCACAGGATAGTCAGACTGCCTGAAGATTGGTGTGGATACTATGGGGTACAATTTGTATAAAAGCTGTTCCTTCACTCACCATCTCCTCACTTGGTTTTCAGTCCCTATAGGAAGTGAACCAGCTCTGGAAGAGGAGAGAATGGGCAGAGTGGGTGGGCTCTCTGATTGACGTCTCTCACAGTCAATCCAAATATTTCTGCAGCAACATGAGTTTCCTGAAGCTTGGGAAGCTGACCGGTGAAATGGAGGTGACTTTGAGCAGCAGATCAAGTGGGGATTTAAACTTTCATTGTACCCATCTGAATAAATCCTCACTTAATGCACAATGTCGACAGTGGTGACGTACTAATATGGAGGGACATAGAAGCGATGGAAGGTGTCTTGGATCGCAGCGTGTATTCAAGCGGTTCTTTTCAGATTCGGGTAAATATAATTAAGAGAAGGCTCAACAACAGCAATTTGCATATATATGAAT